GTGCTCTAGTCTTTGAATAGAAAACATTCTTGTCTACAATTAAACATTATTACGTTGTTACTTCTAACAGGTTGTAGTTACCTTGACCACAACTCTGTAATTACGTGCATTTAACTACTATGTACCTTAGAAATAAAATGCAACATGAATAACGAGTAGTTTTTTATATAGGTACTTAATAGTTAATTTTAAACTTTCGTGTTTAATATACATTATTTAAATTATTAACCGGGTCTTAAGACGAATAATTTTATGGCAAATAAATGTATTGTATGTATGTATGAACCTCTCTCGACGTTTCGACTAGCTTGCACTAGCCGTGGTCACGAGCTGACTGGAGTAACAACGATGTCAATGTAGATAGGTGACAGCAGTTTTTTCTTCATCTACCGAAACGTCGAGAGAGACATTATACGTGTTAAGACCCGGTTAGTAATTTAAATAAGGTACTTAAAATTTTAAATTTTGTTTATTAACCAATGTAAAACAACTTCTTTACGTAATAAATATGTTTTAATTTACATTATTTCGGAGAAACCAAACAATTATCATAAACAAAAGCAAGAATTAGATTATAATAGATAAGATAATAGAAGTACATATAATAGAAAGTGAGCGAGTGACAAGCAGTGCAAGTGAATTCAAAACGTACTTGATATAACATAGAATCAAATTGCAAAATACTGCATAATTCATGCGATGCTCACATGTACACGAATCAATCGTTCCAATTTATCGCACATTGCTTTTATTCAAGGTACAAGACAGTTATATATAGTTTATTATACTTTAATACAGTTTAAGTCAAAATTTGAAGGTTTTTGAGTATTGTAGAAAAATAGTCGAGAATTTAATGATAAAATAAGATTAAAAGTAAACTGCGGTAAAGGACGAATACTACATAAATAATGGTCAGAGAAATTGGATTTATATTCAGTGAATAAGTGTTTGGACATTGTGAGTGTGTTTCCTTTGGTTGGACTGGTGGGGATAGTTGAAGAACTCCACTGAAGATCCTACAATTTCATAGGAGTTCAATACAAAACTTCCGTAAAGATCAGAGTCTACACTAAATTAAGATAACCAACAAGATTTACTCATCGAAATGGCGACTGAGGTAAAATTAACAATTAATTTTTCTTTATGTAATATTGTTGTGTTAATTACTAACATAGTTAATAAGTTGTTTACTAACATAATATGGATGGATAAATATCCGAAATAAATGAAATAATAATAATGTTTCTCCATTAAAAAATTCTCCGCGTGGAATTTAATTTTATTTTTCTAAAATATAAGTAGCCTAAGTTATTCCTTATTACATCAGCTACCTGCCAAAAAAAGTCCCGTCTCGGTTATTTCAATATTACAAACAGACACTCCAATTTTATTGTATAAATTAATTTTCCTTTATGTAAAAAGTTGACGGCACACTTGATCGATCCCCCGTCCAATTCAGACGGGATCGAAATACGACGGCCTGAGCCGAGGTTCGAACCCCTAGCGGTGCCCTCAGACTAAAGTCGTATTCGTCAGGCGGGAGTTGGCCTTCAGCCGCTCCACAAGTCCTTCCGCGGATTTAGAGTGCCATCTGCACTCGCCTACTATCGTCCGGTGAAGCTGTAAAGACCAGCTGCGGCCAACAGTATTAGAGTAGTTAAAAAAAGGACCACTTTCATTGCTATTTCGGACTACCAAAGTGTTATGCCTCCATAAAGAGAGATGAACTAAACTTCTATTATTATATATTGCAATGTTATGCAAGGATTCACCGTGTCACCTTATCAATTTATATTTCTAATTAGCTATCCGGTACTGGAAACCAAAATGAAATAGATCCATCATTATTCAAATAAACTTAATATTTATAAGCAATTTTGAATAGTTTTTTTTATTTATTACACTAATCATTCGAAATGCAGACTCATCACAAGAAACTTGAGAAGACATGCGACAATCAACATTCACATAGCTACGCACTCAATCGATGTGCAATCAGACAATATTGACAGCAATGTAAATTTTAAGTTTCTTATTCTATGAAAACATTATTATCATTTTTAATCAAAATTAAACTAATCCGTGAGACAGCCGTAGACTCGCGTTCGTCACATTAGGTGTTTAAATATCGACATAATAAATGTAGACATATTAAACTGTGACCGCGGATTGACCCGCGATAAATATTTCAATATAGAATATAACTAAGCTATTCTAATGCATAAGTGATATTACTGTAAAGTTACATCGAAATCCGTTCAATAGTTTTTGTGTGAAAGAGTAACGAACATCCATATTTAATAATAATAATCTTTATTTGTCTGAAACAAAAACTTTTCACACAATACAACTATTCCCCATAGAATAATATAATTTAAAACTAATGAATGAGACAAAACGGTCTATAACAGTGAGGGCAGTGAGTCCACCCTCTCTGCTATTCTGTTATAGCCTTTATCAGTAAAATACAATGTGAGATCGACGACAACGATAGCATATTAATGTAAATTCTAAACTACAACTATCAAAGTAAAAATAACAAACATAAATATATATAATCTAAACATTATTCAGGATTAGTTACAACATTAAATAAAAACTAAGAATTATTCAGGATTTACAAACTTTCGCGTTTATTAAGATTGCATTTATCATGTCTATAATTTTTTTAATAATAATTGACAATATCTCTGACTCCAAATGGTACAATAGTTGCGATTAGCCGGAGAATGGGATTGTTAGTATGTAATGTTGACCCTATTACCAGCAATCTAATAAATTCCATCTGCAAACAAAAATATATATTAAAATTCCTGGTGATTCCTGGTGAATTTGTCAAGATAGATAGACAATTTATTTGCTTCAACATTTACAAGGTTATGTACAAATGTTCGCCTCATATTCAGGGGCATGCAAATTATAATTCTTAATACTTACTTTTATAATTAAATTACAACAAATATATATGACTCAAAGGTGAGTGACATAGTGATCTATTAACGCACAGCCCAAACCACTGGACGGATCGGGCTGAAATTTGGCATGCAGGTAGATGTTATGACGTAAGCTACCGCTAGGCGGTAGAAGGGATTTTAATAAATTCTACCCCCAAGGGGATTAAATAGGGGATGAAAGTTTGCATGAAACTTTGTCAATTTTAAACCGATCAGGCTGAGACTTTGCATGCATAAAGCTACGTAGGCATCCCCTAAGAAAGGCTTTTGATAAATTCCACCCCTAAGGGGATAAATTAACGCGAGCGAATCCGCGGGCAAAAGCTAGTTATAAATAAGAATATTAAATGTCAGGTCAATTCTTGCAAAGAGTAACAGCATTTTTTAACGAGCCATTGGTGTACTTCTTTTTTAAATTTATTTAACGACATCTCTCGAATTACCTGTGGTATTTTATTATATATTTGTATGGAGCTGAAGTGTGAGTTAATTTGATGTGCCAACTGACTTGACCTCATGCTCATCTTATCATCCTCCACTGGTGGTCACAAGTGGTGGATGATAAGATGAGCGTCAGCGTAAACCGTTAGCGTAAGCGGGTGCACTATTCCATTATCATCTATTGAAGAAAATGTGTTGCGACTGTATAATATTATTCGTTTCGTAACGAAGAGAAGGTTCAATGCGACGCACGTTGATTAATGATAATCATAGATAGAGGCTGACATAGTATAGAAAAAAATTCATAGGTATTGTACATGTAGTTTGTAGGGCCTTTATATAAATAATTCATCAAGTTACCTCACTCAGATTAACAAATTAATATTAAACTAACTGGACCGCGACTTCGTCCACATGGATGAGCTATTTGCATCGTTTCACTGCATCCTTGACGAAATAACGTGTAAGTAAATTCGAAAGTTATCTACTTTTGACTAATAAAATAAACAAAAATAAAAAATTACCTAAATAATCTAAATAAAAATAAAATAAAACTCTAACCCAAGGAAAAAAGCTGATAAAAATGATGAATTTTCATACAAACTTTCATGTCACCTTTCAACCGCTTACAACTATTTTTTAAATTTAAAAATAGCCTATATACTTTCTAGACTCTGTTTACGAAATTTCATTTAAATTTATTCAGTAGTTTTAGCGACAGATAGATAGACTTACTTTCGTATTTTTCGTATTTATATATGTAATATTATGTTATGTGTAATATTAGTAAGGAATAGTAATGATGTTTTGGTAGTAAAACCAAATATTAATATTAACAAGGGTAATGCGTTGCATACGCATTACCCTTGTTAATATTAATATATATTAAGCAATCATTGTACATTGTAAAAATTGTTTTCATAGACATCGCTGTCGCTGTTTGACATTTACAAATATTAATTACAATTGCAGTTAGTCGTATTGAAAAAGAATTAATTAATGATCTAATTAATAGATATAAGACGACCTCGTCGTCTGGCGGTTTAGCACACAGCCTTACTTTCGATTTCGGTTCGATTCCTCGCATGGCAGAAAGGTTTGTATGAGTATGATTATTTGTATCGATCTGGGTGTTTTCTATGTATATTATGTAGGTATTTACAAAAAATTATCTATGTATTTATATCAGATATCTAGTTGCCATAACAAAAGCTCTGCTTATCGTGGGAATGGATGACCTGTGATAATTGTCAAGGGTTATTTAATTATTTATATATATTGACAATCCCACATTAAAACAACCTCACAAATGTTTCAAATTAATTAGGCGATATAAATAAATCTTATGCACTACAACTTTAACAAGTATCATTTCATATTATTGACAATTATCTCAACACATTGTCTACTGCATAAGATGGTGCATTTTTGTGAAATTATTTTTTAAAAGTTTATAATCTACTTTTTTTTTGTAAAATCTAGTTATTTATGAAAACCATTTACATACTATAAAATAAAGTCGCTGTCGCTGTCTGTCCCTATGTATACTTAAATCTTTAAAAGTACGCAACTGATTTTGAAGTGGTTTTTTTTTAAATAAATTAGATGCCGAGACTGGACTTGGTAATTTTCGGAGCTACTGGCTTCACTGGGAAGAAAACTGTGGAGGTGCTGGCTAGAGGGCGGAAGGACTACGACTCCATCACGTGGGGCGTCGCCGGCCGCTCGCGGGACAAGCTTGACTCCTTAATTAAAGAAGTCTCCAAGATTACAGGTAACATAGGCATTCGTGGTACAGTGGTTTAGATCCGATGGTCGCGAGATCGATTCCTCGCACGATGCATACATTTATTTATTTATTATTCCTTATTGTACCGTAACAAAGAAAAATACATAAGAAAACAATATTTAGAATATATGGGTACAAAAGGCGGTCTTATCCCTTAAGCGATCTCTTCCAGACAACCTTTGGGTAGAGGAGAAAAGATAGAAGGTGGCGCAAGATGGAATAGAAAATATTTAAGATTATAAACATATACATTATGCTTAATATATAAATAAATTACATAAAAAATAAATATACAATAAAACAATATAATTAATAGAGAAATAGAAATATTTATTTATTTATATATATTATGGTGTATGTATAATAGTTACAAAAAAATGTAATGGTGCACTCGCATGCATTATCAGTATACACCGTCGGGTACCAGTGGAGGATGATAAAATGAAAATCATCATTGCCTTGCCTTTATCCCATTATTTGGGGTCGGTGCAGTATGTCATTCTCTTCCACTGCTCTCTATCGGTCATCATATCTGAACATACTCTTCTTTTATTCATATCATCTTTCACACAATCCATCCATCTTTTCTTAGGGCGTCCCCTCCCTTTACATCCATGATGATAAAATGAAAATGAGGTCAGATTTTGAGTTTGACCATCATGATTAAGTAACCAGGAATTAACCACGCTGGTTTCGAGCGGGAACCACGACGAGGTTAACCTGACATGGTACATTTCTAGCAATGGGGATTTTTTCCGGACTACTCTAATGCTGTTGGCTGCAGCTGGCCTTTACAGCTTCACCGGACGATAGGGGGCGAGTGCAGATGGCACTCCAAACCCGCGGAAGGACTTATGGAGCGGCTGAAGGCCAACTCCCGCCTGACGGATACGACTTTAGCCTGAGGGTATCACTAGGGGTTTGAACCTCGGCTCAGGCCGCCGTAATTTTGATCCCCGTTTGAATTGGACGGGGGATCGATCGGAGGGGTAACCGGGGGCACCGGTGTAGAGCGGCCGGCGCGCGCAGGCGCCTGGTTGATTGCGCGATATGTTGTGTTTGGGGTCGTCGTCTTCGCCGGCGAGGACGGTATCGTGTGTATGTAAAAGTGTGGTCGGGGCGGGAGCAATGGGGTAGTAGTCCACCTTACTAACAATCTCCTGCCCCCTCAGGTAGATTGTATCATTACGACGGTTATAGGTTATCTCAAAAATCCTGTGAATTCGCAGGTAACTGGGTTCATATTATATTTCAATAATACAGGCTTCTATATGATTAGTTAGTCTTCATTAATTTTATATTAAAAAAATAGTAAAAGCCCACTAAAAAAAACTTGAAAGTATTGCATTATATTAAAATAAAATAAAGCAGACTCCAAAAATACTTAAAAAAATCCGAAAGTATGCTCTCTTAAATAAATAAATTATTTTCATATCGGTCTATAAATGATGAAGTTATGAAGTGTTTAATCATCTGCTTCTTCTTTATCCCATATATTCGAGTCGGCGTAATATGTTTTTCTCTTCCATTCATCCCTGTTATGAAGTGCTTGTTACATTAAAAAGAGTACAGCCTCCTGTTTTTTTGGAGTCGGTTAAAAAACATTTGTTGTCTTAGCTCATTAGTGTTTATTGTTTGAAAAATCTACAATGCAGTCGCGTGAATATAACAATAGTGAAAATATGCTATGTTAGTTTTCTGTTATTCATTTCCATCAATCACTTGTCATAATATCCTACAATTCATATAATATATTTACATTTCCGAAATATTTAATTCTATTTGCAAATTAAAACTATATATTATAGTATATATAACTAGTTAGTTATAGTAGTTATACATTCACCTATTTATGTATGTAAGTATGTATTTAATTATAGGAACCAACAGAATATCAGCGCTGCAGACTTATCTGTAGCTCCATGCTGTATACTCCTAACACAAACTCTGCTTAGATTGGGATTGGCTTTCTAAGAGTTATCCACGGATATTATAATCCCATCAAAAACATAAATGTGAAATGATAGCCGAGTTTAATATTATGATATATGCCTTGATTGTTGACTTCTACGACAAAAGAGGTGAGGTCTAAATGGGTGCCAAGTTCAATGGTATGTCCTGAAATGTATTTATAACAATATATAATATCATTTCTTCTTATAACTTAGGATAATATACTGTAGCCTAAGATCTAACGAGCTGAGTTTCTTACTCAGCTCGTATTCTTTTCAAATATTTATTTTTATTTATTTATTAAATCTTTTAGGCACAAACACACAAACGCCTATGGCGGACTTAACACCATGAGGTATTTTCTCCCAGTCAACCATTGGGCAAACAGAGATCTATGTGGGCAGTGCATTAAAAATAAAATAATGAAAAAAAAATGTAGGTATACCATTTAAAATAACAATTAAAAAAAATTATAATAACAAAGATTATAAACTAGTCCATAATTATATTTAATACATAATATTAAATAAATAATTACACATATACTCAATATTTATAAATATGAAAAACATACTCGTACATATACATACATACACATACAATTAAATATGTACCTATACAAATGAACAGCGAATGTGAAAAAAATATATGTTATATATGTTTACAATAATACAGATTCATTATAAATTCTGATTTGGGAGAATAGAATCACAGTGATATTAAGTTTCACTTCTTTTAACAGGTAAAGACCTGTCCACCATCACGATTATAGTGGCTGATGTAGAAGACGAGAGGTCGTTGAAGGAGATGTGCGCGCAGGCTACAGTGCTGGTGAACTGCTGTGGTCCGTACCAGCTATATGGGGAGCCGGTGGTGCGCGCCGCCATCGAGATGAAGGCCCATTATGTGGACATCGCTGCAGAGCCTCAGGTATATATTACGTGCTACTGCCAAGTCATTACATTAATATAATTATGGAGACCTCGGTGGTTTAGCGGTTTAGCACACCCTTTACTTTGGATGGTTGCGGGTTCGATTCCTTGTACTTATACTTGAGTATGTTTCAAATGAAGTTTATTTGAATAAATGACTTTCTATTCTATTCTATGGTTTTTTATATCGGTAAGAAATAATTATTTAAATTTTGTATAACATTTATTTCTCGTATGTATGGTAATGTGGAACAGACTGGCTCAAGAAAGAGGAGAATGGAAAAGGTTGGAAAAGGCCTTTGCCGATTGGCAAACAGATCTGCAGAAATTAAAAAAGATCGATATTACTCCAATATTTTATTTCGTTTTTAGGTTTTTAAAATTAAAATTTAGAACTTGTACATTACAAGTTCTAAATAAAGGCTATAATAAAAATAAAATAACATTTACTTCCAGTTCATGAAGAAAATGCAGTTGTTATACAACAAGCCGGCTCGCGAGGCGGGTGTGTATGTCATATGCGCCTGCGGTTTTGACTGCATCCCCAACGATATGGGCGTCATGTTCCTACAGAAAAATTTTGACGGTACATACCAAACTTGTTTCAAAATTTACTTTTTTTTTGGTTCGGTTTTCCCCTTTCTAGGGAAAGGCAAAAGCACTCAGCCCATACAGCCATTGTCTTCAGTAATATTTTCTTATATTATTTTTTTTCTAATAATTGTCTTCAGAAGTTTCAAATCTTGAAAAGTTGATATAACGTACTCGAAAATGGGTTTGTAAGTTTCTGGGTTCTTCAATAGATTCTGGATGGAGCGCGGGATCTCCATTTTATCATATATACTGATCAATTTATCAATAAATATTAATCGCTGGATTGCGAAATCAAAATTTACTATTTAATATTTTACCTAATTAAAAAGTCATTTAAACGGAGACTTGTCGTAGATACTATATATACTTTGTATACCACCCGACAGCCTCTCTGATCGTTAGACAAAGCAATTTAATACATAACTAATGTTAGATAGATAGATAAATTCTTTATTCACAATTACAGACACATAACGTACATGAGATACAGAAAAACACGAATAATAAAAGAAATGTAGGTGGCTTTATGTGCCGCAAAAGTGAAAAGGTAGCCAACTCAGCATAATGCTACAGATAACTCTGCAGCGCTGATATTCTGTTGGCTCCTTACTTGGTCTGGTTCTTGGTCAAAGCATATTAATACATAAATAATGTTCGTAATCTATCTTATTTAATGGGTGATATTGGGATGGTTAGGGGTTGGGAATTAATAGTAATATACTGATAACCCCAATGTACCATATCAGGTAGACCTCCACGCAGTTCCCTTTGGAAACCATTGTGGTAAATTGCCATTTACCAAGATGGCTGACCTGACTTCATGCTCATTTTATCATCTTCCACTGGTGCCCCGCCAGCGGAAATTATTAGAGCAGGCGGGTGCACCATTCCATTATTATCCCTAATGAAAAACGGGATGGTGAAGACGCTTGCGCTAACGCTATACGTATAGGATCAGTTAGACCAAAAAGACTATTTAGAGGCAAAACATGTCGCAATATGGCTGTAAACTCAATAACGGTCGGATTTTCATCATCAATACAGAAGGTCGTAACACTTCCGGTAGCAGTGGTCAAGTTTCCGCAGCGAATCGGTCAGAAAGAGTTGACCCTATTCTCCCAAATTTGAATTTAAATGAATCTGTATTATGGTAAACATATACTACATTTATTTGAAAACAATACGAGCTGAGTTTCTTGTCAGTTCTTCTCGTCTCGAAATCATTCTGAACTGACGGTAGATTTGACATATCATAATAGTCTGTAATAGACTTACTTGAATAATAATATTTTGAATAAGCAAAATATTTATTTCATTGTAATTTTGAATATTTGAATCACTTATTTTACAACTCACACTGCGTTGTCTATTACGCAGATACTAATACTAGTATATAAACTTATCTGAACGAATATCAATCGACAATTATTATAAAAGTTACGATTTTTCATAAAAAAAAGGGTTACATAAAAATAATCTTATATATAAAATTCTCGTGTCACAATGTTAGAGACCATACTCCTCCTAAACGGCTTGATCGATTTTTATGAAATTTTATATGCATATTCAGTAGGTCTGAGAATCCTAAAACCTACATGAATAAATATATTTTCAATTTGAATGTTTGTAGTCTCACACATGCTAATAGTAGCAGAATTAAACCAAATAATATAAAAACACAGATTAAAGTAGATTTACTGCTTTGATTGATGACAAGATATCAAATCGATTGATTTGTGCAAAGCCCTTTCTATTTACATACTTGCATATTTTTTTATTTACGATGAAAACTTTGATAATTTTAATACCATTGGATTTGATATAAAACACTTGTTATTTTCCATGACGCCCTCGGTTGTCTAGCGGTTTAGCACACCGCTTTACTTCCGATGGTCGCGGGTTCGATTCCTCGCACGGTGCAAACATTCATGAGTATGACTGTTTGTATCGGTCAAGGTGTTTTCTATGTGTATTACGTTTGTATTTACATATAAATAATAACTATCTAGTATTTTAACTAGTATTTCTATCAGTTGTCTAGTACCCATGACATAAGCTCTGCTTACCGTGGGACTAAATGGCGCTGTGTTATTTGTTATTATGATTATTGTTTCCAGGTATTTTGAACAGCGTAGAATCATATGTAAGTATAAATCTGCCGTTAGCGCTGAAACTAGAAGCAATGAAGAGTGGACTACTCAAGAACGGTACATGGGATTCTATAATATATATGTAAGTAACAAAACAAGACTCTCTAACAAACTGCAGACATACATATATATCATCATCGTTGCCTTGCCTTATCCAAATGCGTAGTATGTCCACCTCTTCAATGGATCCTTACCAGCCGTCATATCTGAACGTACTCTCCTCTTATACATATTACCTTTCACGCATCGATCCATCTTTTTCTTTGTCGTCCTGTCCCTTTCCATCCATCTTTTAATTAACTAAATAACAACTCACTAAGTTAATCGACGTTGAATAATCAGTCAGCCTGTTTCATAGTTGGACAAATGCTCAGTCTCCAAAAAGAAGGATAAATCACTTTCCGTTTTCTTATTAAAACATCCGTTAACAAGATTATAACAAGACGGTGCTTGTCATCTTCGACCGATCCTTTGATTTGATTTTATTTTGAACCAGCTGCACCCCCGGTTTCGTCCTTGTGGAATATAACTTGTTTTTCTAAAATAAAAATAGCCTAAGTTACTCCTTATTACATCAGCTATCTGGCAAAATAAGTCCCGTCAAAATCGGTCCAGCCATTTCAGAGATTAGCCGGAACAAACAGACCGACAGACAGACAGACAAAACTTGTAAAAAATGTTATTTCGGTATATGTACCGTATTTACCGCTCATACTACCGCTCATTCGGAATGCAGACTCATCACAAGAAGAATGTGCAAGAAACTTATGTGTTGCTCTTTTAAATAAATATTGATTTACTTATATTTAATTAACAACAAGGATTAGGCATGCGACAATCAATAGAGTCCGCTACGCAAATACAAGCAATAATACTCATGAATACAAATGTTTGTGCCGTGCGAGGAATCGAACCCGCGACCATCGGAAGTAAGACAGTGTGCTAAACCGCTAGACCACCGAAGCGCACAATGAGATGAATGTTTATTTTATGTCTTACACTTCACAGATTCCCAAACAGTGGAGAGATGTCGATCCTTCGCGATAAACTATATCCTGATAAGATGCCCGTATATAAACCAGAAATAAAAAACAGGTGGGTACAATAATGAGAACTGAATTTGACGCAAACACTTCATAAATGCATTAAAATCCGTTGCGTAGTTTAATAGACAGCGGAAGCAACTTCATATATATGAAAGGTTAAAAAAAATGCTCCACATAATATATAGTATAATAGTATCTTAATAATATTATAAACGCGAAAGTTTATATGTATAATAATAATATAATAATAATAATAAAGATGATAATTCAGCTAATGTAACTCAATCTCACGGCACCGAAACCTCAAGTTCACAAGTATCCCCTCAAACTCACACACATACATATAATTATCAGAACATAGAAGATATTACACAAATACAGAACAATATCCCACAACACACGAACGAAGAAAGACATAATACAAATAAAGGCAATGGGAGACTAAATATAGACATCTCAACGGAAAACATTGAAAGCGAATTTCTCAATGCACTTGAAATATTTAAGGGATCGGACCCTACTACAAGGCCTTATATACCAAAACAAAGATCGTCCAAGAGATTAAGTATGATAATTGATTATCTTAATAAAAATTTATTACCTAAACACTTATCAATAGATCAAGATTTTCTCACAATGCAGAGAATTATATATTGTGCAGCGTTTACAGCAGCAATCAGTAACGGAAGTAGAATAAGAGTGGAAGGACTAAGTAGAAGAAAAACACAAGAGAAGCCACGATGGCAAAGAAGGCTAGAACAGAAAATAGAAAATTTAAGACGTGAGATAGGAAGACTGACACAATTTATTAATGGAAACCGAAGTAATAGTATCATAGAATCAGTTAAGGAAACTGAAATAAGACATGCTATACATTCTAAATATGAAAATAAAAATACTACACCAGAACAATTCCTTGATACCCTTAAGCAGAAACTTAATGCAACTACAAATAGATTAAAACGATACTTGACATGCACACAGCGAAAATCACAAAACAAACAATTTACAAACAATGAGAAAATATTTTACAAAAACCTAGAAACACCCAATATATTAAATAACGAAATACCAGACACAAAAAAACTTCATGATTATTGGTCGAATATATGGCAATCACCTATACAACACAACCCTGATGGCGAATGGGCTCACAAATTAAATAAACCAATTTCAGAAATGCCTTTCAATCATATAACACTTGAGATTCTCACACGAGTTATTAATCGAACTCATAACTGGAAATCACCTGGTACAGATAACATCCACAACTTCTGGTACAAAAAAATTTCATGCACTCATCATTTTATACACATTTACATTAATCAATTTATACACTCACCAAACACAATGTCTAATTACTTAATGCAAGGAATAACGTACATGATTCCCAAAGGTACAGATACAAACAACCCCGCTAATTATCGACCCATAACTTGCCTTCAAACATTTTACAAAATTTTAACAGCATGTGTCAGTGAAACTATTTACAGCTATCTTATAAATAACAATTTGCTTGCAGAAGAACAAAAAGGATGTAGAAAAAAGAGTCAAGGTTGCAAAGAACAATTAACACTAGATGCTATAGTAATGAAACAGGCCCATAAAAAGAAAAAAAGTATACACACTATGTACATAGACTACCGAAAAGCTTTTGACTCTGTCCCACATAGTTGGCTTATACATGTCTTAGAACATTATAACATTAACGCAACAATAGTGAATTTCTTAAAATCGGTAATGCAAAACTGGCAAATAAAACTCAAAATAAATCAACCTAATTCAACAATAACTACTGAACCGATTCGTATACAAAGAGGTATATTCCAAGGAGATGCCCTCAGCCCGCTGTGGTTTTGTTTGGCGTTAAATCCTCTCTCTGAACTATTACATATGACTAACCAAGGATTCAGACTTACATCCGACGACACTTCTGAAATCCTGTCACATTTACTTTATGTAGATGATATAAAACTATATGGATCTAGCAAAATAGAATTATTCACACTAGCTGACATTACACAAAAATTCTCTCAAGACATACCAATGCAATTTGGAATAGATAAGTGTAAAATTCATTCAATAGAGAAAGGAATAGTAGTAGTAGAACATGTTGAATACCCACTCGTGAATGGAGATTGCATTGAATCCTTAAATGAACAAAACCCTTACAAATACTTAGGTATGTTACAGTTCAAACAAATACGTCAAAAGGAAACCAAGGAGACCCTGATAAGAAAACTAAAATATAGGCTGAACCGGATACTTAAATCTCATTTAAATGCACGAAATACAGCCAAGGCTATTAATTCATACGCGATGTTCTCACGTACTCATTCGGAATAATTAACTGGTCCCAAACAGATTTAAAAAAACTACAACGCGTTATTAACACACACATGACACAAAATCGAAAACATCACCCGAAATCATGCACACAAAGACTCACATTACCACGCCAAGAAGGCGGACGAGGACTCATCGACATACAAAATATATATATATATTTTTATATATATATATATTATATCAGGCAACAAATATTGACAATAAATGTACACCTCTTAATCTACATGACAAAAATATACAAAAAAATGAACACATTATAAATAAGGACCAAAAAATAGACAACTGGAGAAAAAAGTCTCTTCATGGAAGACACAGAGCGGATCTATGCCAATCTCATGTCGACAAGAATGCGTCGAACAAATGGCTGAAACGCGGTGAGCTCTTCCCAGAGACCGAAGCATTTATGTTAGCAATTCAGGATCAGATAATTTGTACCAGAAACTATACAAAACACATCTTAAAAGACAGAAATTTGGCAAATGATTTATGCCGGCATTGCAATAGTGTTTCCGAGACCATACAACACATCACGGGTGCTTGTAAGACATTAGTTCAAAATGATTATAAGCACCGCCATGATCAAGTTGCTACAATTATACATCAATATATAGCACATAAATATAAATTCATAGAAAGCAAAGTTCCATATTACAAATACAGCCCTATTAATGTATACGATCACTGTAAACTGTACTGGGATAGAACAATAATTACTGACAAAACTGTACATCACAATAGACCAGACATAACATTACACGACAAAATCAATAAAAAAGTATATCTTGTAGATATAGCCATCCCAAACACACACAATATACAAAGCACAGTCAATGAAAAACTAACAAAGTACACAGATCTAGCAATAGAATTAAAAAAACAATGGAAAGCACACACCATCCACATAGTACCCATAGTTTTGTCATCCACAGGAGTTATACCAAAAAGTCTGAACAAACACCTAGACACGTTGCACATCCCCTCCTCTACAATAGACCTATTACAAAAAGCCGTCATAATAAACACATGCCGTATAGTCAGAAAATTTCTATCTTCATCACATAACTCATCCATGCTTGGCTAAGGCCCGCGTGTTTGAATATATTACCCCCGTAAAAAGGAGATATAATAATATATATATATATATATGTAATAATAATAATAATAATAATAACTTACTTGGTTTCGGCCCGTAAGTGTGGAGAAAACCAGCAATAGCTGAGAAAAAATAAAGAATAATAATAATAATAATCTCAGGACAATTCACACAGCGCCATCTAGACCCAAGTTAAGCTAGCTAAAGTCATGTGTTATGAGTTCTAGATAACTGCAAATACATAGATCTATCTCGTCACAAGCTAAGCAGAGCTTGTGTTATGGGTACTAGACAACTGATATAAATACATGGATACATTTTTTTTCGTAAATACATACATATTATACATAGAAAACATCCAGACCGATACAGACAATCATACTCATGAATACAAGTGTTTGTGCCGTGCCAGGAATCGAACCCGCGACCATCGGACGTAAAACTGTGTGCTAGACTGCTAGACCACCGAGGTCGTCAAACATGGATGTTTGTTAATCTTCCACAGAAAAACTACTGAACTGATTTTGAAGAAACTTTACAGTAATATAGCTTATGCATCAAAATAACACAGACTATATTTTCTATTGAAATTTATCGCGAGTGAAACTTAGGGAACATCTAGTTGTATATAACTTCCTAATAATATATGTATGTGTTGTGTGAAGGGGTGCGGTACACAAGTGGAACGGACGGTATTGTGTGCCGTTACCAGCCGCTGATGATTCTGTGGTCTACCGCACACAGCGGGAACTGTACAGCAACGGTCACCGTCCAGTCCAGTTCCGGGTAATTTGACCATCTCATTCTTATTAAATTCAATTTAAATTCAAAATATCTTTATTCATGTAGGTCTATTACAGAAATAGAAATAATTTTTATTCAAATAAAGTAATATAAGCACTTTTGAATAGTCACATTTTTTTTTATTCTACCGCTCATTCGGAATGTAGACTCATGACAAGAAGAATGAGCAAGAAACTGTTGTGTTGCTCTTTTACAGACTCCTATGATATGTCAAATCTATGTTCGTTCGGAATGATTTTAAGATGAGAAGAAACTATTATATACTAGCTTTGATCGTGGCACTGCACGCTTGAATTATCGGTGCACAGTATACAATATGTTTTTTTTATGGATAATGAAATGATGCACCCGCCTATTCTAACGGTTTACGCTGGCGGGGCACTAGTGGAGGATGATAGGATGAGCATGAAGTTAGGTTAGCTAGCCCATCGTGATGAATTATGGAACGATGGTTTCCAGGGACCGCGTGGAGATCGACCTAACATGGTAAATTGTTAGCAATCTAAGCAAATTCTTAATTGACCAAACACGAGACTATAGCATGTTAATTTTTTAGATTTCGGGAACGCACTCGTAACATCTCTCAGTCTCAGGCAGCTTTACGGCTACGGTAACGATTTACCATCAGATGGGGCGAAACTTGTTTGCCATCGTAGTAGTATAAAAAAAAACAAAAGCCTCTCCATTCGTTTAAAGTTACTGTGCGCTACGATGTTAGCCCAAGGAATTCTAAGGGACCTATTTTTTTGAGACCGAGTGAGGTCAATTTAAACTCGGAAGCTACTGTTTCTATATGTTGACTCATATGGTAAGTGATTACCACCACTAGTTGTTAAACGCCTATTAGATAAAAAATAGCAAATACTACTTATTATTGTTGGGCTAATACCTAATTGACAGTGATAATTTATTTTCTGTTTACCTTTTTTATTCTGATATTGTCATACTAATTTTAAGATAGATAGATAGATAGATAGAATATACTTTATTTGCAACGTACAGTAAAGAAGAAGCACAAACAATATAACAAAGGACACATGTATCGTTACAATAAGGCGGCCTTATTGCTAAAAGCAATCTTTTCAAGGCAATCTTAGGGAATCGGATTGAAACATCGAACAGGTAGGTAAAATGACATGAACAGGAGAAAACTAAAAGGTAACAAATATATAATGATAATAAAGAAAAATAATAATAAATATTATATGAATTAAAATTTATGTACACAATAATATTCATATATTAAACTAGATACACTTACATAAACTACATACATATTATAAACTACATACATAATTTTGAAGTTAAATAGAATTAACTAAATAATTTTAATAGTCACTCTTCGTAACCTTTATAACGAGTCCAGATTTAAAGAATGTGAGTATACCATAAACGTTCCTCTACTACTTTTAGTTTAAAATCCGTTTAATTTAATCACCCAGTCTGTATAAGTCAAATTATGATGCATATTCAGATTTTAGACACGCGTCTAAACTTCTAACGCTTGCATCAGACCTAGCTTTGAATATTTGAGCATAGGTTTTATGACCTATCAAATCAGAAATACAAACAATGCCAATTAAAGCCATGTGAGCGATTAGTACTAGAATTCTGGACTGTGCATGTACGTTTGAAATTTCAACGCCTTGATATGCGTTCACTTAAGTTTGATGAAACTTTGGGCAGATATTTAATCGAATTAGGTGTTATTTTGCGGAAATCCATTTCACTATTTAATGGATTTATATAATATGTATTATAAAATAATACAAATCCATTAAACTTGGGCAGTTGCTCAAAACTTTGTATTCTCACGTTTTGACTTGAAAAATGTAAACTTAAAAGGATTATTTAAAAGCAACACACAAGTTTCTTGCTCGTTTTTGTTCTTTTTTATACCTGTTCAAAATCTACCCTGTATCATCGTAAGCACAGATTATTATATTAGAGTCCGTTAGTTTGTGTTCCCGCGCCTTTGCCTCCCCTCCCTTACCTAGTACTGAACCGACTGTACGGCGGCCATGACGCGCGCGCGCCTTTGTTGTGAATTGAAACAAATTAGAACTGTGTTAAACCTACTGTGAAACCTACTGTGAAACCTACTGTGAAACTGGAAAGCTAGCGAAGATATCTTCGAGACCCTGAAGCCCAAGAAATCCGCAGAACCATACAGGTACGTAACTGACGCTTCCACTCATTTTTCACTATATATATACAGAGAGTAAATTTCCTAACATTTTGGTAGCAGAGTAGTTTCCCAAACAATACCACTTAGGTGGCAAACAAGCATACGTTCTTCTTGTGATGCAACAGCTTTCCGAATGAGCGGTAGAATAAAAAAATTGTAATGACTATTCAAAAGTGCTTAAATTAAGTTTATTGAATTAAGGATTTTTATTCTATTCTGTACTTTATTCTGTTCTTAAACACGTAATATATATTTCAGATTTCTGTGCATAACTATGTTTGAAGTTGCTGTTGTATTATTACTATTTGGTTGGTCTATATTGGACCGCAGTTATAGTTATGTGTGTTTCTGCCGGCCGGCCACCGTTTGTGTACATTACAATCAGTCGCCAAAATACAACCGCGAAGACACAACGTCGTTTCATTTAAATTTAAGTACAAAATTTCCACTTCTCCCAAAGCAAACAGAAAGCAGCTTTAACAAATCAACATATGGTCGAAATCGAGCCGGATTGCAATTGCATTGTTTACCTGCGTTGAGAACAAAAGACCCACTGTAACTCGGGTCTCAAGACAAAAGGAGTTCGAGAAACATCTAATTTTTGTGAGTTATAATGAATAATAGAATTACAACGTTTTAACACTTGAACATTATAAACATATTCAAGCTGTTTACTGCTGTTGGGAGTGAGCAGCAATACAAAGTGGATTTTAAAAGATTTGAAGTGTTTACGAAACGTCGTTTTAAACAAGATGTCCGTTGTTGAACAATACATGACAGTAATAGAAGACACAGCAAGCTTATTACAAAGAGCACAAATCAATTTAAAGAAGTGTCCAAAGCAACGATTAACACAAGGGTACATAGAAACTAGATTAAAATGCATAGAAGAATATTGGAACACTTTCAAAGAAGCTAATCAAAATCTATGCAAATCTACACCTCGAGATAAACGTGCCGACATACCTTACTTTGTCAATGAAGATTATTTTATTATAGAAGACCTGTATTTGTGTTTAGAAGCGGACCTGAAAGATATGTTACGTGGTATGCAGACTCGAAGCAAAGAGCAACAATCGACTTCGTATAGCAATGTAGACGTTGAAGAAAGGACTTCACAAGTGAAATTACCCAGAATTGAAATCCCCGTATTCCAAGGGAAATATGAGGACTGGGCTACATATCATGATTTGTTCACATCATTGGTGCATAATAACACATCACTTAGTAACGTGCAAAAGTTACATTATCTGAAGACCAGTACTGCCGGGGAAGCAGCTTACCTGTTGAAACACATACAAGTTACAGATAACAATTACAATCAAGCATGGGATATTCTCAAAAATAGGTATGGAAACAGGCGTATGATACTTGCCTCCATTTTAAAGCGATTGTTTGGCCAGAAAAAGATATCTACACAGTCAGCCTACAATATAAGATCATTACTAGATACCACTTCAGAATGTATTAATAATTTACATAATTTATCTATACCTACGGACTCTTGGGATCCAGTAATTATATATTTGGTGGTGCAAAAATTGGACTTGGAGTCACATAAGGAGTGGGAAGAGTATGCATACATACATACATACAAGAAAACTCAGACGATTTACCTTCGTGGACGGAGCTGAAGAAGTTTCTGGAATCTAAATTTCGTACATTGGAGCTTGTTAATCCCTATACATCATCATCAATAAAAGAAAGGCCAGTAGCTACGAAGGAACGAACTTTTCATGCTACAACTACTGAAAAAACGTGTTTCATGTGCAAAGAGAATCATACACTGTGTCATTGTAAAGAATTTGCAAAAATGGACCCTCAACAAAGAAGTCACTACGTGAAAACCAATAATTTATGTTATAATTGTTTATTGCCCGGACATACAGTATTTAAATGTCGAATAGCCATGACATGTCGCATATGTCATAGGCGCCATCACTCTCTACTGCATGAAGATAAGAATAACAACGCTAACACGTCCGGTCACCTGGAGAAGTCATTACAACCTAACGTGTCAGCGCATTTTAGAGTAGAGGAACGAGATTACAATACAGTGATCGCGTCGAATTATAGCAGTAATTGCGGGAAGGAGACAGCCTTTTTAGCAACCGCAATGGTGACAGTGAAGAATAAAAAAGGACATGCTGTTGTATTAAGGGCACTAATTGATCAAGGGTCTGAACAGAGTTTTATAAGTGAAAAGGCGGCTCAATTATTACAATTAGAGAGAACACCAATTAAGGCAACTGTGGCTGGAATGGGATCTATGAAGTCACAATTAAAGCAAGTGGTGCAGGTTCAGGTTTCATCTAAATGGGACAACAATATAGTCATCATATATCAGCATATGTGATGTCAAAACAACTGACCACCAAAATACCACAGAGGGTTGTCACTGGACATAAGTGGCAACATGTACAAGGACTTATCTTAGCCGATCCAACATACTACAAACCTGGGGTAATTGATTTGCTTCTGGGTGTGAAGGTTTATTCAAAAATAATAGAAAATCAATTAATCAAAGGGCCACCAGGGACTCCAAGTGCACAAAAAACATCCCTGGGCTGGATCCTATTTGGAGAGATAAATACAGCACCGAGCAATGAACCGCTCGTTGTAATGCATGCTCAAGTAGATGTAGAAGAAAACATAAAAATTCGGAATGGAAACACAGAAAATACAGTAAGAGAACGTAACAAAAATCCAAAATTCAAAGAGAAATGTACAACATTTATGGAACATGCACCTCAAAATGAGATTAATATTAAAAAATGTACAGGATGTTCTTATTTACCAAAGCATATGAAGACAATCGGAGTATCCTGTAGAGAGAAAAAGCAAAGCGTAAAATATAAAAACAGATTTATAAAGTAGAAAATAACTAATACAAACAAATTAGAAGATACAAGAATTTAAAACTTCACGAAGCAAATACATTATATTGAGAAATTAACCGAAGAAATAGAATACTACTAAAGAATACAGAAAAAGTGAAAAGGAAAAGTAGATTAAAATCACTGAACCCATACCTGGACAAGCATGATATTCCCAGGGTGGGCGGAAAGTTAAAACATGCAGAAATAAGTCATGATCATTATACAGTGTAGTTTTAAGTTACATTTGTAAAAAGAACTTACAGTCCTTTTGGTGGGCGGTATGGTTGGTCTATATTGGACCGCAGTTATAGTTATGTGTGTTTCTGCCGGCCGGCCACCGTTTGTGTACATTACAATCAGTCGCCAAAATACAACCGCGAAGACACAACGTCGTTTCATTTAAATTTAAGTACAAAATTTCCACTTCTCCCAAAGCAAACAGAAAGCAGCTTTAACACATTCAACACTATTATTAAACCACTTTTTTGTGTTGTGTTTCAGACAGTTTGCTTTTTATTTATTTACAGGCCTATTTCAGGTTTTCAAACTTGTTCTTTACGCTTATCCTAGCTTTCTTCAAAATGATATTTGCTAGATTGTCCAAAATAAAGCGTACCAGGGAACTTTTGTTGAGACATCCGCGTTTGTTTACTGGAGGACTGGTCACCAAACAGGGCCCTAAAGAGGAAGTTATGGAAAGTTTCTACTTCAAATTCGAACTAGTGGGAAAGGGATGGGCGAAAGGAGCAGATATTGAGTCTACACCACCCAATAAAATGGCCATAGCGAGGGTGAGTCAATTTATACTAATATATATTTTACTGATACTTTTATTGTTACAATTATGAATCGTAGAAGTTAATTAAGGTTAAATTGGACAAATATAGGTTCTTCACGGTGCCTTTTTCGAGAAAGTTTTTGTCACGCTCAACCACATACTAGAACCATCTTCTAGCAATCGTATTTCCGATACGATATTAAAACTTTCAAGAAAAGAGCTTATTCCTTCTTAATAGGCCGGCAACGCACTTGCATTTCCCCTTGTACTGCGGGTATTTATGGGCAGCGGTAATTACTTACCATCAGGTGAACTGCAAGCTTGTTTGCGCCTTATGCAATAAAAAAACATTTACAACGTCATCTGCACAATACTTGTCTTGCCTATTACAGCCGTCAAGCGGCTGCGTTCTATATTAAGGTTCGATTGAGCGGTGCCATATTGTAGTAAATTTAGTGTACGGAATCATAATAAATATACTCCTGGACAATTCACACGGCGCCATCTAGCTTCAAGTTAAGCAGAGCTTGTGTTATGCGTATTTTTGCTTATGTACTTTTTGTAAATACATACATAATATATATAGAAAACACCCAAACAATCATACTCATGAACACAAACCGTGTGAGGAATCAAACGCGTGGTCATCGGAAGTAAAGCGGTGTGCTAACCCGCGTGATTAACGAGCCCATCGAGAAGGTATGATACCGTAGCCAGTATAGCATAGCAGCGCATGAGGTGTATGGCGTAAATGACGACGACGCTGGTGGATCACCCCAGCAATGCCTGGTCAAAGAGCAATCTCGGGACACAAACCGAGCGGTCCGTAAGGACCTGCGGATGACCTAGAATGGAAATGAATTAGGCGTATCACAGGCGTCACGCTTCGTTCTTTTATTTTGAACTAGTGTCTCAATTTGGAAGAAAATAACACATCACTTGAAAATTCGAAGTGGATCTTCATTTGGTATCTCCTACATATTATAAGAAGCTGGTGGAATGTAGGCCTGAGGGGATCAAACAGAAAATGCTATGAAGTGTTTAAAAAATATAAGTACATTATCGTATTATAATTATATATATTACTAGCTTTTGCCCGCGACTGCGCTCGCGTTAATTTATCCCCTTAGGAGTGGAATTTATCAAAATCCTTTCTTAGGGGATGCCTACGTCATAATAGGCAGAGTCTCAGCCCGATCGGTTTAAAATTGACAAAGTTTCATACAAAGTTTCATGCCCTATTTTATCCCTTTGGGGGTAGAATTAATCAGAATCCTTTCTTAACGGATGCCTACGTTATAATATCTACCTGCATGCCAAATTTCAGCCCGATCCGTCCAGTGGTTTGGGCTGTGCATTGATAGATCACTACGTCAGTCACCTTTGAGTTATATATATTTAGATAATTATTGAACATTCGGCAGGTGTCAGGGATGAATCCTGCATACGGCGCGACAGTTGTAGCCCTCTTACATTCAGCCATCACCATCTTGCGCGAGAAGGACAAGATGCCTGGCAAGTAAGTTACGTGAACATCATCATCTGCTTCTTCCTCAGTCCAATCACTTGAGGTCGCCGTAATATGTGTTTCTTTCCCATTCATCCATTCCATGTTTGCAGTCATCTCGTTATTCACTCCCTTTTTTCCATGTCATCTTTCACACTCTCCATCCATCTCTTTTTCGGCCTTATTCTGCCCTTATCATCACCCACATTCATATTATTAAAATCACTAGTATCCTCACGACTTAGGCGTAATGCTGGTTGGTCAGGGAGAGATACACCTCAATGCTTACAATATTCACAATTACCTATCTCTTATTTGTTTTTATAATAATATAAACACTTCAACTGTTTCGCTCCAAAACTCCCGCTGCCTCCGTTCATCTACTTGTCCATGTCACACAGATTATTTCGTCTCTGGCCTCTGACGTTCCGTTTCAGGTTTTTTTTTTTGTCTCTTTTCTTATCTGCAATCAGTCCCAGAACTATGAGCAGATTTTTTGGGTGTGGGATCTAAGAATGGAGTGTCCACCCCAGCGGGAGAATATACTCCCTAAGCACAAACATTACACAATGTCGCTTCTTTTTAGTCGCTTGGGGTAAAGTATTTGTAGTAATTGAGCAGCTGATTTGGGTGGTTACATAATCGCTTTTTATACTTTTCTTTACAATTGAGGATCTCATCCTTTACTGCCAGTACCCCAAGTTCCTTGTGAATTTCGTTGTTGGTGATGTACCAAGGGACACCCGATACTGTTCTCAGTATAATATTTTGGGCCCTTTGAATGATGTTGATATTTGACTTTGATGCACTTCCCCATGATGATACATGATTATTTACTTTACCATTTTTAATTAATGGTGCGTCACATGATAGTTAACAATGTGTAGTACTTTCTATAAACTATTTTCTCCATTCCTATTCTTTATAAGCTGATACCATGACAGAGAATTACTTTTCAAGTTCTCCGACACCGGCATCACTTTCATTACTTCTTCCCCTCCGATCGAACCCACGTCCAATTGAAACGGGGATCGAAATTACGACGTCCTGAGCCGAGGTTCGAACACCTAGCGGTGCCCTTAGACTAAAGTCGTATCCATCAGGTGGGAGTTGTCCTTCAGCCGCTCCGTAAGTCCTTCCGCGGGTTTGGAGTGCCACATGCACTTGCCCCCTATCGTCAGGTGAAGCTGTAAAGATCAGCTGCAGCCAACGTCATTAGAGTAGTCCGAAAAAAAAAATTACTTCCACTAATGTATTCACTTTTATCTTGTCCTTTCTTGTAACACTACATAGTTCGTTATCATATAGCGATATTCAATCGGAAGCTAGTCACTCAGCATTATATTTATTATGGAGTACTAGCGTTTTCTCTTTTTATCTCTCTCTTACTTAGGTATTGAACAAATAGGTACCGTGAGGTCAAAAAGCTGCTATTGAGAGTTCCAAATGAAACTACTATTCAATAGGGATGATAGGAATTTATTAAAAAAAAAATACTATAGGGAGGTCATTAAAACAAAAAAAAATCTTAATAGCGCCATCTACATTCACATGTGGCGCCATCTAGTTTGCATGGAGTGAACTAATATTATACATTTGGAACTATCTTAAACAGTGGGCTAATTATCTAACTTCGTTCGCAACGATTTAATTTGTAGGTTAGATTAATATTATTAATGATTATAAACAGTTTGTATAAAGTATGCTTTTATATTCAAAATTATTAACCTTATTTTTTCATTAGAATAGAATAGACTTTCTTTATTTTATTTTATTAAATATCTATTAAAAAAATTAAACTAAAAGAACAAGTGAACGCTGCAGTATATTTTGTAATATTTGAACGCAATAAAAATTGTTTCAAATCAATCAACTAGTGTATTAACCCAATAATTTAAAATGTATCCCTCTAAAGGTATAAACTATCTAATGTACTCATTTTAAATTGGTCGGATTAACAATATTCCGCTGCAACTTCATAGCAGTATTTCATCGATAGAAATGATTTATGCTGCCGTCATTCGATCTTACTTGATCGCATTTTTTAAATTGAAATGTTTTTATATTGCATCACAACTTCAACAGAAACAATTTCATATCGTGTTACATAATTAGCCCACAGGTATTATTAATCGGTTAGGACGTAACACATAATAATGTTTTGACAGTAATTTCTATTTTTACTTTGTTCACAGCGGCGGGGTACTGACAACAGCCTTGGCCTTCAACAACACCACCCTCATACAGCGTCTCAATGAGAACCATTTGAATTTCGAAATGATCAACAACAAATAGTTGAAAAACTCAAGATTTTATCTATCTATTTATCTATAATTGTTACACAATGTATCGTGTCAAGTTGATCTACACGCGGTTCACCCTGGAAGCCATCGTTATAAATTCACCAAGAATTTATAAACCATCGTGATAAATTCTTGGTGAATTTGTCACGATGGGCTAACTGACCTGACCTCATGCTCATCTTATCATCCTCCACTGGTGCTCCGCCAGCGTAAACCGTTAGCGCAGGCGGGTGCACCATTCCATTATCATCCATAAAAAATAACTGCCTTAACATGGCATGTTCTTTCACGTGTGTTTTATATGGAGCACGCGTTGTTTAGCGCGGGAAACCTAGCGCGCGCATTTTTTTATATTTTTTTTGTGTTCACAATTTTTTTTAGGTTCATATATACTTACAGTAAGGGCAAAGAATCTAAGCCCATACAGCCATGGGTTCAAAATTTCACACACGACTGCATGAATATTACATGTCATTACATTGACTTTTAAAATTTTTCATTTTATATTCTACAGACTTTATTATCCAAGACAAGTTCAAGATAATTATAGAGTTATTGATAATTTATAAAATTATCGATAACTGTATATTTGTCTTTGTTCCATAATCAGATGTCAGCCATTTTGGAATGATAATTAATTATTACAAAATGGCGTTAAAGCACGCACGATTGTAGGACGCGGGAATGCGCTCACTGTCGATCTTTCTCGTTGTCTTTGTCTACATTTACATGCACAGCATTTCACTGCGCGAAAGTCGTAGCGTACGTGTAGGGGCAGTTATTGAGTAATGGAAAAACCGTTTTGTTTACCCGTATTTCCCAACCTTGAGGCCACGCCACACAAGGGGGGTGGGGGGACAATTTGATTTAAAAGTGGCTCATTTTGAAAATTATACGTGTGTAACTATACACGAGTTTAACCTTTTCGCTCCGGGTCATTTAATTTTAATGCAATACTAGAATTCGGTGACAAATTGAAATATAAAAGCTATATACTTGAATGACTGTTTTATCACTAAATGAAAATAATAAATGAATATTATAATATATTTATGTATTAATATTATGGAATGAAATTTTAATTTCAGCTTTTCATTATGTTTTGAAAATTTACTGTGTATCATTAACAAATGTTCTAGTGATTTCTTCCTAAAACATGTCATTTAAGTTTCTTACCTGAACAATTAATTTTTTTTAAAAAGGCTAATGTGGCACTTGGCACAAAAAAGGTTGGGCAACACTAAAAAGGTTGGGCAACACTCCAATGAGTGATGAGACATGATAATTCCCCAGAAATTGCTTAAAATATTCTGTCGTATCAATATGAAACTGTGATTTATATTGTTAACTAAAATTAGTATCGAAAAGTGTATATAAATCAATCTACATATTTTTACTTTAAATGAGGGAAATTTATAATAATAAATAATCTATAATGAAATTCAAAATTGACTGTTTTATTTAGTCTACAATATTTTTTTAATATCATATAATCATAATATAGAATCATGCTGTGGATGATCGTATGAATGGACTGTACGCGTGATATAAATCAAACAATGGATAGAAAATGGTAAATACTTATAATGAAGATACGTGTACAAACGGTTGTAAGGTAAAAGGTGACAATAAAAAATATAAGACAATTCTATAAAGAAAATACATTTAAAATCGACAGAAAAATAAATATATATAACCTCTGTTCCGCCTCAGAATTAATTAATTAAATACTATCGAATGGATTTTTAAGTTTAGTAAATCAATAAATTTCTGAACGAACCCTGTTTGACAGGTACGAACAGTTTGTATGGGAAAATAAAATTGTTATTTTTATTATTCTCTATGCAATTTCTTCATTTAATTTCTTCATAATTAACACCGTTTAAACCTTCCACGTATATTTTAAGACTAAAATTAGCCAAATCGTTTCAGCCGTTCTCGAGTTTTAACGAGACTAACGAACAGAAATTCATTATCTATTCCTCTTTACATATGAATAAAATTGGAGGGTCTGTTTGTAATATTGAAATAACCGTTTTTTTACTACATGCTTATGAATATAAATACGGTACATACACCAAAATAATATTTTTTTCAATTTTTGTCTGTCTGTTTGTTCCGGCTAATCTCTGAAATGTCTGGACCGATTTTGACGGGACTTCTTTTGACAGACAGCTGATGTACCTAATAAGGAGTAACTTAGGCTACTGTTATTTTAGAAAAATAAAGTTAAATTTCTAGCGGACGAAGTCGCGGGTACAGCTATTTATACATATAAACATACCTTGTAAATCACTCTGTCTATTGCTGAAAACTGCATTAAAATAGTTAAGAAATGAGAACCGTAAATGAATTACATAATTAAGCCACTGGTTTGCGTTGTTGTAGTGTCATTCTGAAGTTTAAATTTTCACGCGGGTAAAACCGTGGGCTGAGACGGTGCCCCTGGATTTGGATACATTGGAATCATTCTCAATGAAATAAAGGAGTGGTAGATACTTGCGTTTACTGTGGCATTGGGAATTGACCGTGGATTTTGACTGCCCATCTGTGGTTACTGTCGTTAGGATACATCTGTATGCACTATGCATACATTTTTTTTGAATTATTCTAATTCGTTTCTACTCGGTAAAGCGTTGATCTGCCTCGTTTGCGTTCTACAATACAGTTATGTGTTGAATTGTCATGATGCTGTTGGCCGCAGCTGGCCTTTACAGCTTCACCGGACGATTGGGGGCGAGTGCAGATGGCACTCCAAACCAAGGAAGGACTTATGGGAGCTGAAGGCCAACTCCCGCCTGAAGGATACGACTTTAGTCTGAGGTTATTTCTAGGGGATGGAACCTCGACTCAGGTCGTCGTAATTTCGATCCCCGTTTGATTTGGACGGGGGATCGATAGTCGATGATATATGTATTTTTAAATAATCATATGGTATTTTAGAATACAGTCCATCGTCTCCTGTTTACTAACAGTAATAATAATATAATATAATAAATACAATGAGATAATTACAGATAATGATGTAATGACTAATGCTACGTGCCAGTAATAATGATTCCGCGTTCATTTAATCATTACGATAAAGTGTACCAATGGTTGAACACGTATCAGTTGAAACGGTATGTATTTATTATTTTGATTTATTTATTGTATCTGTAATTAAGATTATCTGTAATATAAATATTAAGTAGTGATTAGGTTTGATAATGTATGCGTAAATCATATTTTTTTATGTTATCCACGATCACGATTGATTCTTTCTTTTGTTTTCTTTTGCCTGGCCTTGGTCCCATTTATTTGGGGTCGGCCCGTCTGGTCAGTCTTCACCAAGACGTTCTGTCCTGGGTCGTGTGAGATGTTATTTTGGCGCTTTTTATATCCCTCTCAATAACAGACATCCTTGTGAGACAGGGTCTGCCGCGTCTCCTGGGCTGGGTACTTATGTCAAGCACTGTTCTTGTCATGTGGTCTGATGGTCGCCGCATGACATGACCGTACCACCTTAGGCGAGTCTCGAAACTCTTCTCATGGGAGTCACCTTAAAACTACCTCGAACATGGATGTTTTTGATGTGGTCCAGCATTGTTATGCCACCAGCCCATCTTAGTATTCTCATTTCTGTGACATTGAGTTTCTTGTCTTGGTGCCCAGCATTCAGAGCCTTACGATGGCCGAACGCACTTATTGCATAGCCCTTAGTGCGAATGGGCATTCTTCTATCGCAGAGTGCCCCAGAGCTCCCTCCACTTGCATCTATTGCATATATGCATCTATTGTCCCATCACTATACATATAATGGAACCGAGATATTTGAAGCAGTCTGTTTCCTTTATTCGAGCATCCTGATTATTGATTGAAGTAACAAATTCATTATTTACGCTGGAAGTTGTATATGTAATTAGGTATTTGGAAGTCTAGATATTTCTATTTTCATATAGAATTTAGGGTCGGCAACGAGCACGTGACACTGCCTGTGTTTCAGGCGTCAATAGGCTACGGTAATCGTTTACCATCAGGTGGGTCATATGCTTGTTTGCCACCATCGTAGTATATAAGTAAAATAGAAGAAAATGAATACCATTTTTGTACCCCTTTTCTTTCTAGAAAAATACAAAAATAATTGCTCGGTCGTCCATTGTTATTTAGGTAAATGTGTTTGCTTTTATTGATTTATTTCCCATATTCTTTACGCAGATATTTGTAATAAGGGATTATGGATGTATGGCAACGCAAGCATACGGCACATCTGGTTACCGTAGCCAATGGACGCCTGAAACAGCAGGGGTGTTACGTCCGCGTTATTGACTCTATTACTGTTGATATCAGAAAACAATGAAAAATATTTCGGTTGACTCTTATTTACATACTAAATGTGCCCACCTCTTCATCCGCGTGGAAATAACGGATTTCCAAACAAATTTTCATATTCTATTATATCTTAAGGAGTTAAGAGTACAGTTTTTCAAACTTTGCATGTCATATTTGTTTATATTTAATCAACAGCCTAAAAAAGAAGTTTCAAGCTTCTAGCTTTAAAAATGACGATACTTCAATACAACCTTGCATCGCCCCTTTTCGAGCTCTTACAACCCTTTTTTCGAATTAAAAAGTAGCCTATCTTCTTTCTTAGTGTCTAGATTATCTGTGTACCAAATTTAATTTAATCGGTTTAGTAGTTTTGCCGTGAAAGAGACAGACAGACACACAGTTAATTTCGCATTTATATCAATAAGGATTGATATATATTTGTAGTTAGTTAGTACATATAGTGTATATGTATGTTGCATCATAACTACGTTAATACTTACGTTGTGGATATGCAGAAGCAAAAATTGCTAGTAGGTATCTAGTTTTAATGAGTGATTTATGTAATTATGTTAACGACTTGTTTTTCCTGTGTTTATTAAAAACAATAGTCAATTCTTCTGTAACAGTATATATTTGTTTTTATATAAATGTAGTGCTTCATGTTATTGGGGCGGAAAATTACATTTTACTGGCCTTTAAAATTAGTTCAAAATATTTTTTAGTTACAAATTGAATCGTTATTTATCAATACAGATGGAAACGCAAATGGTTATTATGTCATGCAAAATAAAACGTATGTTAATATATAACAAAACAGTAAATGAACGTGGTGATTTAGTGGTTTATTAGACCGACTTAAACACAGCGGTCGTGACTTCAAATCTGAAAAAAAAATCCCTCTAAAGTCATATTTCTAACTTATTCTACGGCGATGGAAACACTGGTAACAAACAAAACTATTTCTATAAAGATCCGACTAGAAATATTAATATCATTCATTTAAATATATCACATACATATCGTCATGTATGTTTAAACGTGGTTCTACAAACAGTATTGAGTAAATAACCACTTGTTATGGTAAATAGTCTGTGATGGTCATTCAGTGTATAGATAGGTACTCTCAATGTCATAGACATTAATAGTCGTTCAACAATGGTCACTTCACTACAATCTACAACAAGAGATCTGTAGAGCTATTCTATTGACAGCCTCGGTGGTTTAGTGATTTAGCACACCGCTTTACTATGCGATGGTCGTGGGTTCGATTCCTCGCACGGTACTAACACTTGTATTCATGAGTAAGTGGGTGTTATCTGTGTATATTGTGTAGGTATTTACAAAAATATATCTAAGTATTTGTGTTAATTTTAGAGTACCCATAACGCAGGTTCTACTTACCTTGGAACTACATTGAGCTGTGTGGATTGTTCAAGATTTCTTTCTGGGTTCATTATATGAATAAACAATCATATAAATGTTTATGCCGTGCGAGGAAACGAACCCGCGACCATCGGAAGTAAAGCGGTGTCATAACCGCTAGACCATCGAGGCTGTCAAAATTTTGTTTATGATATACGACTACTAGTAAACTTCTCTCTTAGTTAATTGACAACAAAATTATTGAAAAGAGGAACACGCGAGTTTCTCTTCATTCTTCTTGTGATAAGACAGCTTTTCGAATGAGCGGTAGATTGAAAAAAAATGTGATGACTATTCAAAAGTGCTTCAATGTAAGTTTATTTGAATAACTGATTTTCTATTCTATTCTATTCTCCTTCCAGATGTCGCGATTGGACCTGGTAATATTCGGCGCTACCGGCTTCACCGGCAAGAAGGTGGTGGAGAAGCTGGCACGTGGTGGCGAGAGTTACGACACATTGTCATGGGGAGTAGCTGGTCGTTCACAAAGAAAGCTCGAGAAAATGGTGGCTGATGTTTCCAAATTAACAGGTACATGATTCTTTGCAAGCTGTATATTGGTGGAAATGTTGAGATATGGTAGTGAAACGGACTACGGAGCACGTCTGATGATGTATCATCATGTAGCATGACCGCGATTAAATTTATTGTTTACTAGCTGTTCCCGGACCTCTCTACGTCCGGATGGAATTAAACTTTATTTTCTAAAATAAATGTTTTTTTCTAAACTAAAAGTAGCCTAAGTCACTCCTTATTACATCAGCTACCTGCCAAAAAAAGTTCTGTCAAAATCGGTCCAGCCATTTCAAAGATTAGTCGGAACAAACAGATAGACAGATAAAAATTGTAAAAAATGTTATTTTGGTGTATGTACCGTATTTATATTCATATGCATGTAGTAAAAAATGGTTATTTCAATATTACAAACATCTGTTTGTAATATTGAAATCCTCCAATCTTATTTATATGTAGAGATTTAATGTATTTTTTCATTGTCTTTGTTATGTAAGATTAGGTTTAAGAAAATATTATGAGATAAAGAAAGAGTGCGTAACGGTTTCTATGTTCGGTATATTATAGCATGCCTCTTACTTGTTATTGTGTAATTATTTATTTTAAAAAACATCTATTCAAAAGAGCAACACACAAGTTACTTGCTCATTCTTCTTGTGATGAGTCTGCGTTCCGAATGAGTGGTAGAATAAAAAAATATGACTATTCTAAAGTGCTTGTATTGAGTTTAACTGAATAAAGATGTTTTCTATTTCTATTTCAAAGTTAAAGAAAGACGGCTTCGGTGGTCAAGTGGTTTTACACACGCCTTACATCTGATGGTCGCGGGTTCGAATCCTCGCACGGTACAAACATTTGTATTCATGAGTATTATAGTTTGTGTCGTTCTGGGTGTTTTCTATGTATACGAAAAAATATATATCTATATATTTGTATCAGTTATCTAGTATCCATAACACAAGCTTTAGGTAGCTTAACTTGGGTCTAGATGGCGCTGTGTGAATTGTCTTGAGATTATTATTATTATTATTTTAGAAGTTTTCGGCCGAGAGATCCTTTCGATTGGCGAAATTAGGTCCTGGCTCGTGGATTATAAACTTAAACAAAAGACATCGTACTCTGTAAATTGTGATATACAACACGAATAGAAACACGATTTCCATTTCACGAATTCACATTCAACAAAACAAGTAAAACTACAACATCATAGTGATACAATGATATACATATATCATTAATATCTAACGTCATTCAAGCAGAATTATGAATTACTTAGATATAGTTTCATTAATGTTTTCGACTGGTATAACGTCATTCATAGATATAACACGAGATAGTGATCAGTAATATTTAGGTGTCGCTGGTGTACATATCATATCTGGATTTTAGATATAAAATTTATTTACAACCAATTCCTTCTGCACCTATATGCAATGTTTAACGGATCCAATAAAATAATACCACTTCCACTAGTGTTTAATATTAAGTAATTTACTAAACACTAATGGAAGTGGTATATTATATAATTTATATTAAGGAATTTACAAAAAAAAAAAAAGAATTTTTAATACGCCATCTTATGGTTTTTTTTTCCGAACCGATACTGTTGGCCATATTGAAACGGACGTTATGGGGTGAGTGCAGATGGCACTCCAAACCCGCGGAAGGACTTATGGAGCTTTGAAGGCCAACTCCTGCCTGACGGATACGACTTTAGTATGAGGGCACCACTGGTGTTCGAACCTCGGCTCAGGCCGTCGTAATTTCGATCCCCGTTTGAATTGGACGGGGGATCGATCGGAGGGGTGCCCGGGGGCATGCTCGTTTGTCCCCTGCCCGGTTGAATGCGCGATAAAAAATGTTTAGGTCGTCGTCTTCGCAAAAAAAAGGACGGTGTCGTGTGTGTGTGTAAAAGTGTGGTCGGGGTGGAACATATTATGGTATGAAACTTTTGTTATAATAATTTTCAAATTTCGAATCATCACGTAAATAAATAGTAAAATATACTTAGATGGCCAAGAAGTTTTTATATTCATACTTAATCATGCAATAAAGGTGTATGTCCCAAATATGAATTTAAGAATGAACCTATATTATTGTAAACATGTACAGCATTTATTTAAAAAGAATACGAGTTGAGTTTCTTGTCAGTTTTTCTCATCTCGAAGGCACCCGAACTGACGGTAGATTTGAGATATCATAATAGTCCGTTTGAATTTGAATTTGAATTTAATGTATCAGCGATTTATTGTTGCCATTGACAGTCTTCAGTATCCCTATGTGTGATAACTCTTCACACGTTATACTCATTTAATTATTACTAATTAGGTAAGTTGTATTGCATGCAATTCACAAGAACTGACAAGAAATTCAGCTCATTAAAACTATATAGGTCAATCATTGGTTATACCACAGACAGATAGCCATACCACTATTGGAATGCAACAGATTTATTTATCCCGATCTCGCGAGATCTCTTGTAAGTTTTTCGGGATCAATCCCGACGCATCATACGACGAGATCCCGTTCGAGATTGACGGGATTGGGCGGCGTTTGAAAAAGAAATGAAAAAATATAATCACACGATTATATCGTAAAGAACCAAACCAAGCAGATATTAATACGGCAGTACTAATCGAAAATGACTTGCCTCTTTCAATGATTGCAGAAGATTTCAATTTACGTGTTGCACAAACTAATAAATCGCTTCAAGAGGAATTAGAAGAAACTCTGCGAGCTTTAAAAGTCCTATTTGCACGTATATCACGTCCACGAGCTTAGACAAATTAATATAATCTGTGGTATGATTTGGAATTTAACTTTATTTTCTAAAATAAAAGTAGACTAATTTACTCCTTATTACATCAGCTATCTGCCAAAAAAGTCCCGTCAAAATCGGTCACGTCATTTCAGAGATTAACCGGAACATACAGACAGGCCATACCAACCTCGTGGTTATACTAGGCGAAGAGAATAGAATAGAATAGAAAATAATTTATTCAAAATAAACTTAATTTAAGCACTTTTGAATAGTCATAGTTATCATTCTTTTAATCTACCGCTTATTCGGAAAGCTGTCTCATCACAAGAAGAACGAGCATGAAACTTGCGTGTTGCTCTTCTAAAATTAAATATATTTAAGTAATATGTTTATTAGTTCATAAATATCTATTAGAAATAAATTTAACAAATCACAAATCATTGTAGATAAAATTTTTCACATAAGGGGGCAAAAAATTTATAGTCTATCTCTGTATTAGATCAGTTACAGAAATGGGAATGGCTATAAAATTTAACACAAGTTAAATATGTTACCTAAATACTTAAAGGACCTTCCCAATAATGTATCATTACATAGTATAAAACAAAGTCGCTGTCGCTGTCTGTCCGTCTCTTGTATGCTTAAATCTTTAAAACTACGCGATGGATTTTGATGCGGTTTGTTTTATCAGTTAGAGTGATTAAAGAGTAAGGTTTATATGTATAATACACGTACACCCAAGCGAAGATGAGGCGAGTAGCTAGTCTAAATATATATAACTCAAAGGTGACTGACGTAGTGATCTATCAACGCACAGCCCAAACCACTGGACGGATCGGGCTGAAATTTGGCATGCAGATAGATGTTATGACGTAGGCATCTGCTAAGAAAGGATTTTGATTAATTCTACCCTCAAAGGGATAAAATAGGGGATGAAAGTTTGTATAAAACTTTGTTAATTTCAAACCAATCGGACTGAGACTTTGCATACATAAAGCTACTATGACGTAGGCATCCGCTAAGAAAGGATTTTGATAAATTCCACCCCTAAGGGGATAAATTAACGCGAGCGAAGCAGCGGGCAAAAGCTAGTTCAAATATAAATTAAAAAGGTTGTTGATTGACAAATGTTATTATAAAATATCAAATTTTTTGGATGATAAATTTTACCAACTCTTTTATTAGTTTTATATTATAGTACATACACTTAAAGTTGTAGTTCTTGTATTATTACAACATCATTAGAAATAGAAATGGAAGTAGAAATAGTCTTTATTCAAATAAACTCATTACAAGCACTTTTGAATAGTCATATATTGATTCTACCACTTATTCAGAATGCAGATTCTTTTTTTATTATAGTTTAACATTTAAATTTAATATTTTATTGTAGCATTTAAGTATATTATATGCCATCTAGGCTAAAGATGTCGGTGAAATTCTTTCTACATGTCGTCGGTTAAATAGAAAAATGGCAGTATTCAAAATGTAAATTGTTTTTTTACAAGACCAGCAGTTTTTTTTAAATTAAATTAAAGTATTATATATCATATTAAGGTATTTAGATAATGATTAAGACGGCGTGGTTAATTTAATTGACTTATATAAAAGGAGGCAATTCTAGCTTCTAATTTTGTAAAATGATATTTTTCTATTTAATCATCGATATATAACAGCTTATCTAATCACGCATGTTTTACAAATAATGAATCCTGAATTACAGGTAAAGACCTGTCGCACATTAGGATACTAGTGGCAGACACTGGCGACAATAAATCGCTGAAACAAATGTGTGCGCAGGCCAAGGTTTTGATTAACTGCTGCGGGCCTTACCGACTGTACGGCGAGCCTGTGGTCCGCGCCGCCATCGATGCGAAGACTCATTATGTGGACGTTAGTGGAGAACCCTTGGTTAGTTTTTTTAACTATAATGTTGTTGGCCGCATCTGGGTTTACAGCTTCACCGGACGATAGGGGGCGAGTGCAGATGGCACTCTAAACCCGCGGAAGGACTTATGGAGCGGCTGAAGGCCAACTAACGCCTGACGGATACGACTTTAGTCTGAGGGCACAGCTAGGGGTTCGAACCTCGGCTCAGGCCGTCGTAATTTCGATCCCAGTTTGAATTGGACGGGCGATCGATCGGAGGTGTATTCTTTCGCAAAAACTACTGAATGGATTTTAATAAAACTTTAAAATAATATAGCTTATTCATCAGAATTACACATATTACATTGTTTAACAATAGGAATAATAAATATAGTTCGAATTCGAGGGTACAAATAATAAAGAAGTAAAACGCCTGTTCAACTTAATTAAAACTGTTGCAATGTTGACTTTATCAACAGGACTTTATCCCACAGCGCCATCTAGTCCCAAACTAAGCAAACCGTATGTTATGGATACTAGACAACTATTATAAGTCATACATACATACATTTTTTTTGTAAATACATACTTAATAATCATAGAAAATACCCAGACCAATACAAACAATCAGACTCATAAATACAAATGTACCATGCGAGGAATCGAACCCGCGACTATTCGAAATAAGTGTGCTAACACCTAAATCACCGAGGCCGGTCAATTCTATAAAGTTTACCTAGCTTGAAAACATTTTCAGTTCATGGAGACGATGCAGCTGGTATACGACGGACAAGCGCGGGAGGCGGGCGTTTATGTGATCAGCGCGTGTGGCTTCGACAGCATACCCAACGATATGGGGGTCGTGTTCCTGCAACAGAAATGGGAAGGTACGCATATGAACTAGTTACGACAAATCTCTCTATCTTTGTATATAACTCAATGGGTGCTCAAATTCAGATCCTTATAGTAACTAAGGATATACTGAAATTACTTTTAATAAATTTAAGACATCTATTAAATCATGTTCATTGAGTATTACTCATTAAACGATTACTTAAGTGACAAATGCATGGGAATTGTTGTTTATGCACGAGATATTTTCATTAGACAGCTATATAAGTATACAGTGTATATAAACTGGCTTTAAAAAAAACAGTCGAGTTTCTTGACAGTTCTTTTCAATTAAGTCTATATACAGAACTGGACGATAGGGAAAAATATTAATACAATAAGTGTGACGTACATAAGCTGATAACATGGATGAGATAAAGAATGAATACATTAGAGGAAGTATGAAAGTCTCGCCGGTGTCAGAGAGGTTGAAGAGTAATCGTCTATCGTGGTATGGACATGTAATGCGTAGGAATGAAGATCATATCTTAAGGAAGGTGTTACATATGAATGTGGATGGTTATAAGGGCAGAGGAAGGCCGAAAAAGAGATGGATGGACTGTGTGAAAGATGATATGGTAAGAAAGGAAGAAATTAAAGCGACGACTGCGAACAGGGATGAATGGAAGCGAAAAGCATATTACGCCGACCCCAAATAAATGGGATAAGGAAGAAGCAGATGATGATGTGACGTATTTAAGCGGCTCAAAAGGTCCTACACGAATGCTTTCTTATTCTGATTTTCATACCCTATTTCTTACATTTCTAATTTAATTTCTGACATAAATCTATCCTGTGTGATTTCGAACTAAGAAGAACTGACAAGAAACTCAGATCTTATTCTTTTCAAATGAACTTGTACATTATTACAAAAATAGAGATTAATTTTCAAATTGAATTAGAATGAATATTGTCCACCAGCAAATGTTCCCAAACAGATTAGTCCCCACAATCAGAAAGTTGACATAATGTACATATATAAGAATTGTTTATTTTGTATAATTACATTAATAAAGTGGAAGTGAAGTGGCAATGGGCAGGGCACATAGCTCGTAGGACAGATGGCCGTTGGGGCAGTAAAGTCCTCGAGTGGCGACCACGGACCGGAAGACGCAGCGTGGGAAGGCCTCCAGCAAGATGGACCGACGATCTGGTCAAGATCGCTGGAAGGCATTGGATGCGAGCAGCACAAGACCGATCGTCGTGGAGATCTTTGGGGGAGGCCTATGTCCAGCAGCGGACGTCTTCCGGGCTGCGATGATGATGATGATGATGACATTAATAAAGATTAATTTGGTAATTGCAGGTACATTGAATTCAGTGGAGTCATATATGGAAACTTATCTCTCCCCTGACTTTAAAAACAAAGGAAGTAAAACCAGTGTTCTTAATTCCGGCACTTGGGAATCCCTCATCTATGGGTAAAACTATTTTTATATTTTTACGCTTTAGTTTAGAACTGCAATAGATGAACTAGTTAATGAATTAACGAGAAATGTCCATGTGGTTAATTTATATGCGGTCGAAGTGGGAGCGAGAGGTATGCCAGCGAAATCTCACTACAATCTTCTAAAAGATCTTGTCCTGTTTAAAACTGCACTAAAAATATATTAGAATGTATCTAAACCTGCATTAGCAGGCTCCTACCAGGTCTGTCTGTGCTGGGAGAGAAAGACGAGCGGTGAAGATGAGTGTTCATGTACATCGGCAAGGGGCTCCTTAAACCTACAGCCCAGTCAGAAGTCCCGGGAACTAGTTCCCGGGAAGTCGAACCCTCTTTGCCACACGATGGACCCGGCACCCGTAAATGAAATATCAATGAAATGCTAAGAAATTTGTTTCTTACCAACTCTTAACTGAAGTAGCCAGCTAATATATTACAAGGGGCCGTAACGTCCTATTTAATGAATAATTTTATGTTTGAGTTTTGGTATGAGTAGCTTTGATAAGAAATTTAGTTTAGGTCTCAAAATATCTTTATTCATGTAGGTCTATTACAGACTTATGATATGTTAAATCAGAGTGCTTTTGAGCTCAGAAGAACTGACAAGAAGCTAAACTTTATTCTTTTCAAATGAGCTTCTACTAGTTTACAAAAATACATAAGGTTTTAATAAATTATATAAGGTTTTTCATTGTTTTATTATATTTTTGCAGATTTTCGGATCAATTAAAGTTGTTATCATTACGAAAACAATTATTCCCTGAGAAAATGCTTAAGTTTGAACCGGAACTGCAGTTACGGTAAGTGTTATATATAAATTATAATTGTACTGTTTGTCTTCTTAATTATCGGTTCTCAAGACATACCACTGCTCTCACTCGCCGTTCACAGCTTAATGCCCGTATGACGCCAGCAGTGTGCGCTAGAGACGACATGATACCTCCTTCTCTTTCTCACATCTATTACATTAGTAACCCAGGACAATTCACACAGCGTCATCTAGACGAACTAAGCAGAGCTTGTGAATGGTGCACTGTCCTGCGCTAACGGTATACGCTGGCGGGGTACCAGTGGAGGATGATGAGGAGATGAGCATGAGGTCAAGTCAGGTAGCACATCTTTGTTACATTGACAGCAATAGGGTTATTAATCCACATTACTAACAACCCTCTTTCCCCCAATGTAAATATATTACACCAGTTGAGTTTCTTTCAAGTTCATCTCAAGTAGCTATAGGATAGTGATAAAAATATAACGCACACTGGAGGCCGAAAGGTCCAATGTTAATAATAGTACAGATAATATAATATTACATAAATAATAGTAATTATATAACGCTGGACAATTAACACAGCGCCATCTAGTCCCACGATAAGCATGTGTTATAGGTACTAGACAACTGATATGAATAAAAATATATAATTTTGGGTCATTGGGCTCCCTAAAATATGGTCGAGTGCAGTGATGGCTGGCTCATCCATCATACTCGTGAACGAGTGCTGCTTGTAGGGACTGGACAGCTCTTATCTTATCACTACGACTGATTTAATCTTATTGTATATTTATATTTGTCCCAAAAAATTTGTGCTGGTTGGTAGTTTGTATTTACATATTTCGACTTGTAAATGTAAACTTACAAGGATTATTTAAAAGAGCAACACACAAGTTTCTTCTTTCCGAACGAGTGGTAGTTAAAAAACAAATTGTTATGACTATTCAAAAGTGCTTAAATTAAGTTTATTTGAATAAATGATTTCTATTCTATTCTATTCTAATACTTAAATATTTAATTTTGTAAATACATACATAATATACATAGAAAACAGCCAGACCGGTACAAACAAACATACTCATGAATACAAATATTCGAGGAATCAAACTCGCGACCATCGAGGCTGTCTAATAAATAATTTCAGGGGCCCTCTGCACAAACATAACAAGGATTGGTACGTGCCTTTCTTAGGAGCTGACAAGTTCGTAGTGTACCGTACTCAACATCGGTCGTATTTTGACGGGGAGAGGCCGGTGCAATTCGAGGTATTATCAATACAATTATTACACTATATTAGAGTTCACATCAATATTGTAGAAAAACAACCGATATTTTAAAAATATATTAAAAGAAGGTAGTTTGTGTTTAGTACTAATGTAGGACCTAATAAAAAGATTATTACAAATATTGTAAATAGCGCCATCTAGTATTTATAGACCAAACTAGTACACTGAATTCGGTCTATAAATACGGAGGTCGGTAGTTTAATAATTCTCTTTCGTTCGATTTTTCATTTTTTTAGTTTCATTTTTAAGATGTACAATACTGTAGTACATTATTTTGATTTATCTCGTGGGTTTTAGCCAGAATTTGCAATGTAAGCGCAAAAATGTGTTTATTTACGAAATCACTCTCCTCTCTAAATTTATCAATGTTTCTCTACAATATTATGCATGTATTATACATATAAACCGTCCTCTTGAATCACTCTATCTATTAAAATAAACCGCTTCAAAATACATTGCGTAGTTTTAAAGATTTAAGCATACATAGAAACAGACAGTGACAGCGACATTGTTTATATATTTTGTAGTGATATTGCAGAGAGCGTCGTGGAGAGTCATCTTGAAGAATTTATAGATATTTATATATTTATATAATAGTCAAGTTATACACGCGACTACGTCCGCGTTGAATTTAAGTTTATTTTTCTAAAATAAAATATTTTTTCTAAAATAAAGGTAGCCTATGTTACCCCTTATTACATCTCCTACCTACCAATAAAAGTCCTGTCTAAATCGATCCAGCCATTTCAGAGATTAGCCGGAACAAACAGACAGACAAAAATTGTAAAAAATGTAATATTGGTGTATGTACCGTGTTATTTCAATTATAGTCACTCCAATTTTATTTAAATGTATAGATTAATAAAAACGATAAGCGTAACAAGCCAGCAACAGCTGAGCCAATATAATAATAATATTACAAGGCATATTACACAGCGCCATCTTGGATTAATTATTTAATTTTTATATATTTTAAGGTGTACTACAAGACGAGAAGCCTGCTGAATACTTTACTGTTCGCTATTGCTGCGGCTTTCTTATTCGTAATGTCAATGGTTTCCATCACGAGGAATCTAGTAATAAATTATCCCAGTTTCTTTTCTGCTGGAATGTTTACAAAGGAAGGGCCCAGTGAAGAAGTGATAAACAATTGCCATTTTCGAGTGGAACTGGTCGGAAAAGGGTGGGAGAAAGGGGTAGACACAAAACGCACGCCGATGAACAAGACCATGGTTGCAAGGGTTAGTATTTATATCTATATATATATATATATATATGTAACTCAAAGGTGACTGACATAGTGATCTATCAACGCACAGCCCAAACCACTGGACGGATCGGGCTGAAATTTGGCATGCAGATAGATGTTATGACGTAGGCATCCGCTAAGAAAGGATTTTGATAAATTCCACCCCTAAGGGGATAAATTATAATTATAATATATTATATATATATATATATATAACTCAAAGGTGACTGACATAGTGATCTATCAACGCACAGCCCAAACTACTGAACGGATCGGGCTGAAATTTGGCATGCAGATAGATGTTATGACGTAGGCATCCGCTAAGAAAGGATTTTGATTAATTCTACCCACAAAGGGATGAAATAGCGGATGAAAGTTTGTATGAAACTTCGTCAATTTTAAAAGCGATCGGGCTGAGATTTTGCTTGCATAAAGCTACTATGACGTAGGCATCCCTTAAGAAAGGATTTTGATAAACTCCACCCCTAAGGGGATAAATTAACGTGAGCCAAGCCGCGGGAAAAAGCTAGTCTACCATAAACAACTTCACCAAAACTGACTGTAGATTTTGACATGACAGTCTGTAATATACCTACATGAATGAAGATATTTTGAATTTGAGATTTACAGTTGAATTTTGTTGGACTGTAAATATCTCTCTAATGTATATAAAATTGTTTTTTGCGATAAGGCCGCCCATTGTTACTGTCTTTGTCTTGAGCGAGAGGAAATAATAAAGAGTTTCATTCATTCATTCATTCGTTCATTCTCCTGTCACAGTGATAGTTGCGATACATGTCCGTAATGACTTAACCGATTTTGTTGAAGTTTTATATGTATACTCGGTAGGTCCGTTATCTGTTCTTTATACCCCTAAGTGTTAAGGGTGCCAAATTCTATTTTATATTTCAGACAATTTTTTTATGATTCGGCATAAAAATATATACAACACTAAATATATACACCCTTCTACCATCCCCTATTTTTTAATAGTGTTATTAATTTATATAGTAAAATAATGTTTGCCGGGATAGCCAGTATTAGTATATATATAAGTTTTGTTAGCACTAGCTATAACTTTCGGCTTTGCACGTGTTTTTAAAATACAAGTAATCAAATTAGCAGATTTTTTTTAATTTGCTTATATCAATTAAGTGATCATCATCATCTGCTTCTTCCTTATCCCATTTATTTTGGGTATATGTAATGTTTTTTCCCTTCCCATCTTATCAATTAAGTAATATATGTAGATCAAATATTTAATTTTAAAAAAATTGTCTTTTCTGTAAGGTTTAAGTAGAGTCAATAACTTACATAAGTATATTTCCAGGGAGATCTCTGGGCTATTAAAGTAAGAACTTAAATTGATCCTACAGTTAATACAAGTCTAGTTTCTGTTTGTAGATATCAGGAGTGAATCCTGGGTATGGAGCTACAGTTCTTGGAGTATTACATAGCGCTCTTACTATCCTATGGGAACAGCATAAAATGCCCAAGTGAGTATGACAGAGTATGTGATGAATTTGCCCCAACTCTTCGATAGAAACCTTTCATCATACTTACCAGTTTACATAACCTATACATTGGAGTGTCTGTTTGTAATATTGAAATAACCGTTTTTTACTACATGCATATGAAAAAATAAAGTTCCATACGGACGAAGTCGCGTGTGCAGCTAGTATTAAAATAAAATGTTATATAATAATAAAAAGACTAATATTGTGAAGATTTTAACCAATAGAAACAACTTATGAATTAATTCTCATACTCTAAAAACCGTCCCTCCGATCGATCCCCCATCCAATTCAAACGGGTATCGAAATTACGACACCCTGAGCTGAGGTTCGAACCACTAGCGGTGCTCTCAGACTAAAGTCGTATCCGTCAGGTGGGAGTTGGCCTTCAGCAGCTCCATAAGTTCTTCCACTGGTTTGGAGTGCCATCTGCATTCGCCCCCTATCGTCCGGTGAAGCTGTAAAGGCCACCTGCGGCCAACAGCATGAGAGTAGTCTGAAAAAAAATTACTTCCTCAAATGTATTCATTTTTATCTTATTCAATCTTGTCACACTACATAGTCCGTTATCCTATAGCGATAATTCAATCGGAAGCTAATGTCACTCAGCGATTACTAGCGATTTCAGCAGTTTTTTCATCTACCGTCACTACATTGTTCAACATTAAAACTCCTGGTTTCAGAGGCGGAGTTCTAACAACTGGGGCAGCTTTTAGTAACACCACTCTTATTGAACAATTACATAAGAATGGCTTCAAATTCGAAATTGTTAAATAGAAGATTAAGTTATTTTAAATGAATATATTTTGTTTGTAAATGTTTGAGTAGGTATTTATTTTAAGCATAAGAACTTTTATATTTTTAAATTTACTATTTACTGAGTATTATTTGTTTAATTTTACGTGAATAATCTAATATGTAATCAATAGATTTGTGATTGTTTAAATAAGTTCTTTTGTTTATTTTGTTTACTCATTTATATACCTGTTTATATAATATTATATATAAAAGTAATCTACCTAAATTTTCTGGATTTTTTATACAAGGAGAACCTTCAAAGACTTCTATAATAATAATTATCTTTATTTATCTCTAATAAAAACTAATACAATTGCTTATACATGAATAAAATTTAAAAATAATGAATGAGACAAAACGGTCTATAACTCAGAGGGGGCAGTGAGTCCACCCTCTCTGCTATTCTTCTGCTCTGCAATAGTATATTTAGAGGCGTATTAACTAAGGGCAGGATGGGGGATTGGCCTTATCAGCTAATAACAAAAGCTTTTACTGTATTTGGTGTATAAAAGGTTACTAAATGACGAAGGAAGGTTACTAAAGGAGACACGGTACCTGGACTACTCGAGGAGGTAAGCCGTCCTCTTACCTTGGAATGATGCTGCACGAGCGTTGTTTGCTAGATAAACTGCATTATAGAATTCCAGAGGCTTAATGGAAAATTAACATTACACTGAAGATGTACAACATTGTTTAAAAAAGCGCATTATGAAGCCAGGTTCTTGCCCATTCCTCTTGGCTGAATCGGCTTTCTGAATGAGAGGTCGCAAAATAAAGAAAATTAGTATTCAATTTGGTTGTTTATATGTTCAGTTCATTTGAATAAAAATTGTTTATATTTGTATAATAATAAATTTTTTTGTAAATAAAATAATAATACACATCTTATTTTCAAGAAGAAATCGATTCCTATTTAAAGTACAGTTTATTACATATTTTTATAGAATTATAAAAATTAGTTACAGCGCCACCTATAATTTCTATTGTAAACTACTAAGTGCAAAATATTATAGGTGCTAATCGCCTCATAATTTTATAGAAATATTTTTAACAGAATTGTATTGACAATTTAACAATACATTTTCAAAAATATGTCGAATGCAAACTGTAAATACTTTCCATCAAGAATATAATATTTTGAAGAATAACGACAAGAAAAGCAAGTGATTTTTATTTTAAATCTATCGCCAGTTACAAGATGGCGCTACTTAACCGGATCATGAACAAATAGTAGAATAGTAATATAAGGTTGAGTAGTAATGTTTTACGATTTTTGTCAATAGAATAAGTTAAGTTCAGTAGGTAATCAGGCTAGTGATTGGTAGGTATATGTCTAAGTACCTACCTGTTATGAATCGGTGAGAATATTTGTTACTGAGGTTTATGTATCCGTGAGAATATTTGAATCCAATGTGAGTGAGGGCCTCATTGATTTTTTTTACTGCTTTCTTTACGTCGGAGAGCTAATTAAAATACCAAGTGTTTGGTATTGGTTAGATCTGAAAATCTTTGTTGTGTACAAATCAGGATATAAAACTAATTGGGCGATGCTCTCATTTTTTCAGTATTTTCTTCTTTATCTTCTTAGCTCGTATCTAGCCTAGCCTAGCCTAGCAAGTATCATCATACTTGCTAGGCTAGGCTAGGCTTTCTTAGTAACAAAGACCGCTTTCTCACTTTACAATACTATATACTAGTATAGTTACTGGGGGGAAAGGGGATTGTTAGTAATGTGGATTGATAACCCCATTGCTAGCAATGTACAATGTCAGGTTGACCTCCACGCGGTTCCCCCTGGAAACCATCGTGATAAGTTCGTGGTGAGGTTGTCACGATGGGCTAACTGACCTGACTGAGGCTCATCTTATCATCTTCCACTGGTGCCCTGCCAGCGTATACCGCTAGCGCAGGCGGATGCACCATTCCATTATCATCCATAAAAAAAAAAGTATAGTTAGTAGTTAGAACCATCAGAGCTTACCTCTGATGGTTATCGTAAACTGTAAGAAGTAAAAACCTACGTGGGTATCTCAATCTCACCTATTTTAGCCGTCAAGCAGCTTACGTTGTTAGCTGTGTGTCGGGTGTAGACAGATTACATTGTGAAATTACAGGATTGGATATCTTAGTCCCCTGGAATGTCAACGAGTGGTATCACATGATAATATGATATCTGTAGTTTTGATAATTGCATAGGGAACAGTTTACCGCTAGGGTTATGGGGATTGTTGACTACATTAGCAATTACCATGTCAGGATGTCCTGCACGCGGTTTCTGGAAACCATAACGAAACGAAACATTTCTGATAAATTTCTAGTGCATTTCGCACGATGGGCTGACTGACTTGACCATGATCATCTTATCATCCTCCCTTGGTGCCCCGACAGTGTATACCGACGGGTGCACCATTCATTTACCATAAGGTGGATCGTCAGTTTGTTTGTCATTCTAATTATATAAAAAAATCTACTGTTCTGTGGGTATCTATTGTATCTATGCTACGTATTTAAACTTTGGCCAGATGTATTATTTCGTGCGCGTACATTGGTATACCTACTTGGACAAGTTTGAAAAATATCTGTGTTGTATTAATCACATTATCGATAAGAAAACGGCAGATTGAAAATAGATAAAATTATTTTATTGATAAAGTTTTAGGTACTAAGCTTAATGATAAAATGTACACACAAACCGACCTAACACGCAATCATTATATACATCTATTATATTATTTTATGTCACCTGTACATTACTAATTACACGATTATCATACCTATTCAATAAATTAAAAAAAAAATTGAGCTTTGGTCTAATAAAATAAAAATAATGTTTGTTAACAAAATAAAACGTAAAACGAAATATATAACGTTGTGTTTTAATAAGCATTTAGTACAGAAATTAGCTTTTTGACTTGCCATTTATTCATATAATTAATAAAAGAAGAAAAACATACGTTTATATTAAAAAACAACGTTATGGTTACATCAGAAGTGTGAGTACAAATAAGTATTTCATTTAATATAATATATTACATATTTTCTTATAGTTATTAATAATGTCACTGTATGATATGGTTAAAAACACAAGCGTTTTGCTATTTTCTGAAGATATAAACAATGTTCCTAAAGTCTAAGCTAACATCATTTACAAATAGGTACATAATGATTCTATTGCGTCTTGACACATGCTGATACATTTTATATTGTTAATATTTAAAATAACAGAAACTTATTTCAAATAGCAATCTGACTCAATATATCGACGGAAGAAAATTGAATTGTCGTAACTTGAAATATCTAACTTCGCAAAACATCTTTATATATATTTTTATTTCAGTAATTCATATTCTCAAATATTTATTGAGATAAAAAGTTGAAAATTGTTATGTATTTATCCAATTATCAACTTTCTATGTTAATAAATATATGAGTTATGAATGAATTTTTGAAAAAGTTTTTGGTTTTGATGTAAAGTCTGGTATTTTAGGTAGCATTTGTCTGTTATTGGGTAATATGGTACTATTATTGGGGTAATACATTTGCAGTATGGGATTCATATAGTTACCAGTTTTATTAATTCCCAAAATGTCATAAGGGGTGACTAGAGGTATAATATAGACAGATCAGTACAGATACTAACAGCACAGATAAGATAATATTACGTAAGAGTAAAAAAAGAAAATAATAATAATTATTAATATTAATACACCTCACTATTTAATAATATATATTATGTAATAATTGAACAGAAATGTATAAATTATAATTTCATACTTTATAAGTTCTTTTTTAAATCGTTGTGTGAGTTATGGGATTAGTACACTATCATAATTATATTTGTTAACATGAGAACGTAATATTAGCATACTATTTTATGATTGGTGTGGTTTAGTATAATTATATTATATTAAATATTACAATTGTAAATACAGGAAAGAAAGAAATAAAGAAAAGAATAATAAATATTTATACTTGGCACATTAAATGAACAATCTGTTACTAGATCAACAGATAAGAAACTTATAACATAAAAAAAATATTTGTAAATATTCCTATTTTTATTGTCCATTAATATTTTTGTACAATAAAAGTTCTATGTAAAAAGTTGTATATTTTTTTCTTACATAAAAATGTATTAATCTTTTTTTAAAACTGATTGCAAAACATTTAACGTACTTTTAGCATTGATAGCTTTATAAATAGATTATGTATTACACCTATATTATGATAGTGTAATAACCCCATAATGATATAGTATATATGTCAAGTAATTAGAAAAAACTCATTTAATTGCAAAGTAATTGATTAACCTATATTAATATGAATTTATATTATTGACAGCGATAAACGAAATTTTGATTTATTTGATCGGATTATACTTAATAACAATAACTGTAGTTATATGCGGCTGATCATTAATTAAACGATAAAATGTAAATTTTATAATCCAGTTTGTCAATCAGTAGCTTAAACTATATCTATAAATAATTAAATATTGAATGTATAATGTATAATTCTGTCGAAAAACGTACGATATACGTGCGTATATAACACACTCGGCCCTATTACGCCCTCGTCTTCGGCTCGCGGTGAAATTCCACGTCGTGTGTTATAACCATCATAACGCACTTATATCGCAATATACTATATTGCTAGCGTTCAAACAAACCAGTGGCTTAATTATGTAATTCATTTACGATTCTCATTTCTTAACTATTTTAATGCAGTTTTTAGCAATAGACAGAGTGTTTAACAAGGTATGTTTATATGTATAGCTGTTCCCGGACATGGTCCGCGTGGAATTAAACTTTATTTTCTAAAATAAAAGGAGTAAGTTAACTCCTTATTACATCAGCTATCTGTCAAAAAAGATCCCGTCAAAATCGGTCCGGACATTTCAGAGATTAGCCGGAACAAACAGACACAGACAAAAATTGTATAAAATGTTATTTTGGTGTATGTACCGTATTTATATTCATATGCATGTAGTAAAAAACGGTTATTTCAATATTACAAACAGACACTCCAATTTTATATGTAGATATAGATGCATGGGCGTTATAGTATAGAACAAGCAGGGAAATTCAAAGATATGTAATGCACGGGACGGGTCGTATGTCAGTTATAAATTGAAATGATCAGTAATTGAATCACATAATTGAGCTCCAGTTCAAATTATATTTCACTTACTAGATATTTTTTATAACAAAATATATGTATATATTATAAAAAGTTTAAAATGTTAGTTTTATATTGTACTGTACTGTACTATTTTACACTGTATTAGTCCTATTGATCGATTAGTTCGTTTAAACTGGTAACATCAACAAAGTAGAGATGCGTGGAGCGGAGGGAAATCGATATAAAATGTTTTGATTTACATATTTTTCTCGATTGTACATAGATTTATGCATTCAACAGACAAAAAAATTAAAAATATCGACAATATCGAGAAATACACATAATAATTCTTACTTTTTAGGTTATTTCAAACCTAAAAAGTAAGAAAAATTCTTAGATATTTATTCTTTATTTTTAGATATTGTTCTTAGATATTGTCGATATTTTCCTGCCAATTCTACGGTAATTCTGAGGAATATTTTTGAAAATAACACAGTTTATTCTTATTGTGGTTCTACATTAATTTCCTCATAAAAATCTTCGTTCAACTTCAACGGTTTTCTTTTGTTTTCTGTGTACAAACATATTTTATTATTGTTATTAAATTACATGCTAACAATGTAATAATCGAAATAGTTTTGTAAAGAATTTTTAGTAACCGGATATTATTTTATTTTATTATTATTTCTCCGGTCAAATCATAATACTTAAATTTAATATGTATTGTCGAATTATATTATTGTAAATTTGAAGAAATATTGGATAGCTGTACATTTAGGTATTAGTTCACTTATCCTAAATTACATTATCCAGGGATATCTGTACATGTAGAGAAGGAGTAATTACTGTATTGATTAGGTATAGTTTAAATTAGACTATACAAAAAAGTTGCAACTTATTTTTAATCTAGTTGTACCTAATCCATGGAGTTCAAATTTGAAAAACATTGGTAATTTTGATAACAACACAATATGAAACAATGAGACAATGAAACGTTGTAACGATACAGCTGACTATAGGAACTCTGTAATTAATTTAATGCATCCAATCGGCTTAGTTAAACGGTATGAACTAATATCTGATCACGAAATCTTAGAGACAAGACTTTATAAAAGCATTTTGTAAAAAAACGTTCTTATTTTGAATTAGTTCAACTACTCAGCACATCTCTATTTCGTTAAGCCTCATTTCTAAGTCGAGTCTCGATTTTATAAAAGTCTATGGAATCACTGTATACAGCTTAACTGGATTCTCGACTATTTTCGTTGGAGCCTACAGTGTTTTGCGAAGGCGATGGCGTCACCTCGGGAGCTATGATGAGACCTTCCTTGATTCTTTTCTTTTGCTTCATCCGTCGGTTCTGAAACCATATTTTAACTTGGGTTTCGTTTAGTTGCAGGGCCGACGCAATCTCTATTCGTCTCGCTCTCGTCAGGTACTTGTTGAAATGAAATTCCTTTTCGAGTTCTGTTAGTTGTTTGTTCGTGAAGTTGGTTCGGCCGGTGTTGTTCAGGTTGAGGAGGGGGTTGGCCAGCATCTGGCTGCCGGTGGGGGTGCGCAGCCCCTCTTGGGGACTCCCGATTCCCCCTTGGTTGACGAACTCCGCTGGAGGTATCATCAGTTTTGGTGCTGGAACGAGAGAAATAATTTTTAAATTAATTATAGTTATTATGAAATGTTTATTTAATTTAGGATTATGCAGATTATATTATATATAGAGATATTATCAGATTATATGTGAAGTATATTTTATATGTTCTTATAACATCTCTGTTTTAACAGTTGAAAATAACTTTTAATATCAATGTTAATTTATTGAATTGTATGTGCAAGAACATCATACATCCATCCATTCATATATCTAAATAAATTTCAGGTTTATATATATATATATATATATATATTAATTATATAGTATTTGTTCAGTAATAATAAATAACAATAACCCTAGGACAATTTACACAGCGTAACCTTGTCCCAACCTAAGTTTAGTTTTTTTAGTAAATACATACATGATATCTATACGTAGAAAACACCTATACTCGTGAACACAAATGTTCGTACAGTGTGAGGAAGCGAACCCGCGACCATCCGAAGCAAGGCGGTGTGTTAAACCACTAAACCTCCGAGGTCGTGTTATATTTTCAATATACAGAACCGTCAATCACCTTTGGAGAACATTGTAGTTTATATCTGCTGAATTCACTACGGTGGAGTCGATTACTGCACCGTAGTGAATTCAACAGATATATTTACCGGATTTCATTCCTTTAATTTAAACTTTATTGCCAGTTCTTTTCATACACTTTCAATTAATTCCAGCTCCGCTCCTATTGGTCAGGGCGTGATGTTATATAACGTATAGCTTCCCTCAATAATTTATTTATTTATTTATTAAACTGCATCAGTGTACAATTTGATACTCATTTGAATTTGTACACTGAATTGGACGGTAGTGAAAAAAATATGATACAAAAATTTGACGGCTAAAATGTCCTACATGAATAAATAATTTTGATTTTAAATTTATCAGCGCCTGCGTGATCATCACTTCAACATCATCAACAAAAAATGTAATTTTAGTTACGTACGTGCAATTTACTGGTTTTTTTTTGCCAGAAATGTAATGCATGTTTACACAAACGTCTCATTGCTCAGGATTATAGATTTTTTTAAGAAATTCCCTCGCAGTCTCGGGTGCATCTCTGACAGGTGTCATCTTTTTTCTAATTTGAGGAGCAAGATAAAAGATATTTCAATATTAGCCCAAGGTGTCCCGCTGCGCGCGTCGACCTACTCAGACGCGTTTTTGGTCCATTGTTGCTGAGTAAACAGCCTCTCAGTCATTATTTTATTTATTGTATGTTTGTTTGGATTCACGTAAAGTTTTTGGCATTGAATGACTCGTTCTGGGAATCAGGTTGTATGCAAATACATATATTTGACGATTGATTTTTGGGTGAAAATATTTGTGGATCTCAAGGTGGTGACATTGTGAGGCTGGATGCAATGATTTGTTTGTATTAAATTACACGATTTATCGAATGACGTTGGCCTCAAATATGCAAATATGCTCGTAATAGCGACATGTCATGACATGTCAGCTACATACAAATCTTAACTCCTAAACTACTGAACTGATTATAAATTTGATTGATAGCTTACATCTCAATTTATGCCGCAATATTATTTAACCTTAGACACAGCTCGCGTGGCCGGGTCTACTAGTATATAATAAATTACCACAGGTAATTAGAGAGATGCCACTAAATAGGTTTAAAACTATAAACTACAAATGACTCCTAAAAATGTTGTTAATTGTTGCGAGAATTGACTAAACATTTAATCGTCTGTTTCATTAAGAAGAATTGTAATTTTGCATGCTTCCTGAAGCGAACATTTCTATATAAAAACACTTGTAAGACTAAATATTCAACCAAAATATTATCTCTCTGTCATAACATTCGTCGCGAAGTGGACTACCAATAGTGCTAATGGCTAAATGTTATTACGTTCGTAGGATAAGGGATATAATAATAGCTTTGAACAATTCACACAGCGTCATCTAGTCCCAAGTTAAGCAGAACTTGTATTACGGGTCCTAAATAACTAATATATACATAATATTCATATAAAACATCTAGATAAATACTGTTGTACGTTTTATTATATGTATATAGGTAAAAGGAATAAAGACTTGGTAAACGGAGAAAATATATATATTTGGTATAGTATTGACATAGTTTTTTTTTATCTATGATAAAGGTATGGAGCATTCCAAGGATGGATCGCAAATTTTGACTTTAGTAATGTCGATTTTAATCAGCAATTACAAAGCGTATTTTTTTATGGATGATAATGGAATGGTGCACCCGCCTGCGCTAACGGTTTACGCTGGCGGGGCACCAGTGGAGGATGATAAGATTTGAGCATGAGGTCAGGTCAGTTAGCCCATCGTGACAAATTCACCAAGAATTTATCACTATGGTTTCCAGGGGGAACCGCGTGGAGGTCAACCTGACATGGTACATTGCTAGCAATGAGATCATCAGTCCACATTACTAAAAATCCCCTTTCCCCCAGTATTGACATATTATTGAAGTAAAGTAACAAACAAGAATATACAAAAATAACTATAAAGTTTAAATACAAATTTAGAATATAAAATACATTGGGATTAGCCAATTACAACAGATACAAACGAATTCATGAATACAAATTGCTTGTACTGTGTAAAGAAACAACCCCTGACCATCAGAAGTAAGAGAATGTGCTGAACTAAAACTTCTAGACTATCGAGGTCGTTAAATTAGCCATATTACTAGCGATACGCCCTGGCTTTTTTTAATTAATTGGCTTGTATTATACTATAACATCATGTAT